CTTTGTCAATAGAATTGGCAAAAAAACGTGGTATTTATAGTAAAACCCAAAGGCTCATTAAACCATAGAAAATATCAAAGTGTTACAATAGGAATAGCATGAGTATTGTTCAGCTGCGAGATGCCATCATCATACATTAAACGGGCACAATCGAACATTTTACTTATTCAGCATGGTGATTCAATATGCAGACGCACACAAAGTAGAAGAAGCAAGAATAGCCCAGGCTTGGAGATCCCTCCAACCCAAGGAGCCCAGATGCAGTATGTTGATAGCACGTTCCAAGTTCATTTTATTCGAGCAGGTCAAAGAGGTCAAGATAGGTGTGCAGGAGTTACCTGGGTCACCAACATGATAAAAGCAAAACAAATACAGTCGACTATCGATTTGTGCGGTTTGTACAGTTTGCGGATTAACCCCGCACCTGAGGATTGACAATAACTCATGGATTTTCCCTTTAGCCCAAATTAATCATCTAAAACCGTTAAACATTGTCTTTCTTGGAAAAGTGTATTACAAGTCAGGTGCTTAAACCGAATAAATATGTTGTTCTGAAATCTATGTGGTTTGCTCTACAGTACAGGAGTTGGAATATCTTTACAACAGAGGGCAGAGTTTGATTGATGATGATTGGCGTGGCTCTGCTATCCACTTAATCGGTGGAGTGTACTTCGTGGGAAAATGTGGTTATTGGCATAGAGATCGTGAGAAAATTGTTATATTTTCGGATTATCCACGAATTAGAATTATGCGCGGCCGGTCTCCCCGTCATTAACACGGATAATTGCGAGTCTATGAATTACAGCAATGAAGTAAATAGAAATCGGGGTAAAAATAACTTTTGTCACGTGAAGAAAAATCGAAAATATTGCACTCACATAAAACAATGTTAATCAAGTAGTAAATTCCCTGTTCAACAAGCTAGCTAGCTCAGGCACGTTATATTTAGATTGATCATCGCTCAGTGATGCTTTCTAGGTCGCCTGTATAATAATAATATTGTGGGTATGCTTGTTTTCCTAGGAATGCCTCACCGACCCTCAACTCCTTTCAGGAGGGTCTTGCAAAGTTTTCGCAGGGGGGGGGGGGGTGCGATGTTGCTGCTGTGTTGAATCCCAATTGATGAATTCTCAGCAAATTTTTCAGCATTGAAATATACAGCCAGTACTGTACCACTTTGTGTGTGGATTTTATGAGGTATGGAAAAAAAGCCCATGCAGAACAAGGGGAGAACATACAAACACCACACAGAAAGGTGCGAGTCAGGAATGGAAACCAGAAAATACTTGTTCTGAGGCACGAGTGTTACCACTAGGCCACCACGCCACCCAAATACAAGCTCCTTTTTTAACCCCCCTCTTTTGGCCTACTACCCAGATCTCTCCCCCAAGCTACCACTAGTTCGTCGTACACCAAGTCAGACATGTTCTTTGTTCCTTTCCATTAGTCATGCCTGCTCTCAGCACCCTAAAATGCACTCCCAAATTGGAGTTCAACGCCTCTTGACCGCAACACTTTTATCTGCAAAACATGCGTTCACAGATAAGGTCGTTGCCGATGATAATGGATGTGACCAATGGTCGACATACAAAAGGTCCAATTAAGAATGTCCACATTTCCGCGATTCTTTGTTTACGCTTTACAAGGAATGTTTACAACATTTATGCATTGGCTCTGTCTATGTTTTAACCAGGGAAGGGGCGAGGCCCCGATTATGCTCGTAAATATGCAAGATGAACTGAAATTTGATTTGAAGTTGTGATGCTATTTGGAACTTTGCTGAGAGAAACCCAGCCACATTGCTGAAGGCGTTCCCACACCTTTGCCAACAGGCACTGAGCTCTACGGATGTACAGCTTCCTGTGCGCCTTGAGCGGATGCTACCGTTATTTCCGATACCTTTAGAGGACAAACATATATTGGAGAGCATTCCAGAATCCATGCCCAATTTTCTTCCTAAATGATACTGATTTGTTTGATATGGCACCCTCCTATATTAGCCGGGACGGCCAAGTGCTTTACAGCACATCTCTTCACAACACATTTGAATGGGCACCTCCAGTGGCAACTGTCTATGGGCACATGGCGATTCAGCACCTGGTCTGCAAGCGGGCACTAGTCTGGCAGTAGAGGGTGATGACTGATATGGGTACTCTCCACTAAGTAAAACAAAGGAGTGGAAGATGGCAGCCTTCACGCGGCCTACTCTGTTAAGTGAAAAATCACGACAAAATGGCATCAATGCGGCGACCGAACATTGATCATCAATCTCCCGCTCTCCAGAGCATCGAAACAAGCCACCCCTATAGCCCTGTTCAGGGCCAAACAACGCGCCAGATATGCCCTGGGACAAGGATCCTCCAACTGAATATTGAGGGTCTCTCCCAGGCCAAGTGTGAGTATCTCGTGAACATAATGAACACACGTAACATTGATATCCTGACACTCCAAGCAACCTATGTCTTGGATGCCCTACATGCCAGTCGTTACCACATCGATGGATACAATTTCATGATGAGCTACTGCCACCAAAAATATGGCTTGGCCATATACGTGAAGAACATCATCACAGAGTTATATGCCTTCCCACCAACTAACACGTTCCTTCGGAGTGGGCAGGTAGGAACTTGGTTGGACGGCGCATTCGTGCGATCCGTGTCACGCGGCGCAAGCTGCGTGGGGCGGCGCGTCACGTGGTGCTGAGCCCGCCCGAAGCGCTCTGTGAAATACAAATCAAGGGCATGGCTATGCACGACAGACAGACAATCCCTGGTGGGCAGTGTGGAACTGTTGTTCCAACCTGTAAAAGAAGCCAACTACACCTCCAGCATCAAGATAGGGGAGCTACACATCACCAATGTGTACAAAGCCCCGAATTTAAAAAGGCCAAAACCAGCGCTCCCAAGTGCACCAATCTCAGTCCTAAATACGTTGGTGACTTTAACAGCCACCATACTATTTGAGGCTATGCAGTAGATCAGGCCGATGGTGAAGAACTCACTGACTGGATGTCCACCTGAACATCTGCACCTGGTTTTCAATCCCAAGTAGCAAGCAGCTTTCCACTCTGCTCGCTGGTAAAATGACTACTACCCAGACCTAACCAACGTTTCCAAAGATCGAAGTGGGAGCACACTTCACGCATCCCGCAAAATACTTCCAACTTACCCCAAAAGTCAACATAGGCCCATCATCACTCAGATTAGCATCGAAATCCGTGATTATGTCAATACGATTACCAAGATGGAACGTCATCAAAGCGGACTGGGACCACGAAAAGGTGACGATAGAGTAGCGAGTGGAATTCCTGTGACATCCGAACGCCATCACCGTTTTGTTGGCCTCCTTACTGCAGCCGCCAAGAAGCGCACCCCCCCCCCCCCCCCCGGGACCTGCTCTGACAGTAGAACCAGTCAAGCAGCTCACAGGTTGGTGAGACTCAGCCAGCCGCCAACGGTGGATTGAGTGCGTTGAAGGCCCTGGACTTTACACACTCCAGCCGCTGTACCTGAGCCCGACTATGATGCCTGGGTGCTGAAAATCCAACAGAATACCAGACTGCAAGAGTCCTGCCCAACTCCATAGCCTCCAAACTAGTGGAGAACACAAAATGACTGCTCGACAGAAACATCAAGCAAGAGATCCATTGCCAATTACCCCAGACAATGGCCTCAATTTCTTCACAAGACCCCACCGTCATCAGCACAGAGGAAGTGAGGGAGGCTCTGGCTGTAATGAAAAAAGGCAAAGCTGGCGGCATATCCCTCCAGAATTCCTCCATCACTTAGGCCCTTGTGGACTCCAATGGCTGGCAAAACTGTACGCAAAGCATGAAAATCGGATGCATCCCAAAAAACATGACAGGAGGCGATGGTCATTGCCATACCCACACCGGGCAAGCCAACCGACGACCCGGGAAGCTATAGGTCGATATCACTCCTGTGAATGACCTATAAACTCCTGGAATGCATCATCCTCCAGAGAATCAGCCCCCTTCGTCAAGTCAGTGATCCCCGAAGAAAAACGGGATTCCAGTCTGGACGCAGCTGCTGTGATTGAGTTTTGGCCCTTGCGACATATCTCGAGGCCTGATTCCAGAAATCCAAGACCGGTGCACCTTTGTAGACTTGTCATCGGCCTACAACACAGTCTGGATTAAGAGCTTGATGTTGAAGCTCACGAGAACCATTCCCTCGCTAATAATAATATAGACAATGCTGAGCAATAGGTGACCGCGTGTCTATATGGGCAATAAATCCAGGTCAACCCAGTTCCTCAACAATGGATTGCCACAAGGTTCAGTATTCGTGCCAATGCTCTTCAATGCAACCCAAGCAGGCGAGTGGCGAACAGTGGTTGTCCTATTGATAAATTCATCACCTACCATAGCAATGTGGAATTTTGAACAACGGCTCAGGGCTGTGAATGAGAAATGAGCACACCTCAATGCTCATTTGAGCAGGAAGTCGATTTAATGCCGACTAATCGTCTACGACACGATTTGAGAACTAGACTTGTGATGTCAGGAAAATCCACCGTGGATTTGAGTTGGATCCACGCTCCCGAATGACACATCCACGCAGCATGGAATAAAGCCACACAAACTAGCTCGTGATATTACGCGTTTGATGTGCGTCAGGAGCCACCATGGACAGTCTTGCAGATGAGGGGTTCCTTTAGTGACGTCGCAGGCGAGTGGTGACTTAATATGAAAACGCACAAAACCATGGCAAACACTGTACTTCTACACAGCGGCCAATGTGTACAGAGTTGAAGTCTTAGCGTGCAGCACTCAGAGAAGACCCCCCCCCCCCACCTGCCCCATTATTGAACCCGTGAAACAAGAGCGACGCCCATGCACCTCCACCTGCGGTTAAAGACTAATCTCATGGCACGCTTGGTTCTGCTGACTGGACGGTTCACAACTCAACGCGTTATGGAGCACGTCTACAGCTTAATCAGCGCGTTACAGAATGGGCGTCATAAAGCAGGTCACGGCGGTTGGGCTTGTGGTTTATGGCCTCGGACATATAGAGGCCACGGGCCTGGCGACGTCTCGGTGCAATCCCGGGTCTGTGCAAATCACTCAAGCCTCCACCACCACCCATCATGAAGCCAGGAAGATGCGAGGCGACGCGATTTGCGATGCTGCTACTGCTGCTGCCGATTTCCCTGTGGGCTCAACGCGCACTCGCGGCGCCACACGGACGCGTGCCATACACCACTACCTCCACACAGGTAGGTAGGTGCGGCAATACCTGCGGGCGCAGCCACCCTCAACCACAGTGGCGCCCTGCTTCCCACGAGTATGGGAGTGTGGGCGAGTGGCGCCTTATATAGAAGATGCGGAGCGCGCCGTGTGCAGCGCGTAGGACCGTGTGCAGTGCGTAGTGCCGTGTGCAGCGCGCCCTGGGGAGGAGGGGAGGGGGGTGCGATGGGGTCGGCGCGTGGGGCCGTGTGCAGCACCGTAGCCCAGTGGCGCCACGCGGGGGAGACTCGGGGCTAACGCGTTGGACAAAACCACGACTTTGACGATGAGACCCAGGAATGTCGAAGCTGCTCCCAGAGTGTCCCCCCTGTAATTGTGTCGACGTTGCTGGGGGGTTGTACGCTCCCACCGGGCCGTGCGGCCGATGGGCTGGTCATGTCGAGAGGAATGTGTGTTCAGGTGTAACGTTTGCTTTCTTAACGTTGTTATATGTCACTGTTTAACACCGCCTCCTTCCTATCTCGGTCTCCTATTATAAAAACTAAATACAGCGTAATTAGATTATAATTACAAATGCAGTGCACAGGGTGGACCAGATGGCCTGTGACCCTCAATTAATTGACCACGAACGTTTTTTCACTTTGCATATTCATTTCTGTTTTAAATGTTACTTTAAAATAAGTATAACCCGTAAAAACAAAGTTTTTCACTATAAATCCTTTATATGCGTGGCAGCGAACTTAATATAAAGGATTTAAAAATATATTCGCCTGTGGAGGACGCGGGGATCAATCCCGCGACCTTTGGCATGGGAAGCGAGGGCGCTACCAACTGCGCTACTCCACCACGGCCTGTGGAGGGGTTACGCTCTGGGCTCTTACACTCTGACGTTCAGCCAAAGCCATGAATGCGTTCTATTTGAATATATGTAAAATAAATTTGTTTTGCCTAAAAAGTGTAAAATTTTGGGAATTTTTTTTCACGAACAATAATTGTCTGGCACAACGAGTCTGTGTGGAAAATGTCAGCTCGATTGGATCACGGGAAGTGGGTTAAAAAACGACCGAAAGATTTGCACGGTCCTAAGCAAGCAAGCACGCAAGCAAGCACGCGAACTTAATATAAAGGATTTAAATACGTGATAAGCCACTTCGTTGAGCTGTCATTTGTGGCCAGGTCGCTTCTGAAAAAGAGATAACATCTCAGTGGGCCTTACCTGGTAAAATAAAACGATTTTTAGTTTATTAAGTTTTACAGAATTAAATGTGCGTCACAAGACATCTGGACCACATGTATATCTGGACCACATCTATATTATATTTAGGCCTAAATTAAGCCGTCAATATTAACTTCCATCGGTAATCACACATGCACACACGTACGACATCTGAAACTGATAGAACTAGAGTACATTCTGCATGGACCGGTGGCGTGAACCGTCATTATTCGCTCATGTAAAGTACGTCTGTTATATCATTCTAAATTGTATTAGTTATTACATATGTATCATGTGTACACGTGTCATTTTAGGTTTTGCTATGTATCCGCCAATCAACACGCAAACGATCTGTTCAATCTCATGTAATTTTTTACAGGTAAAATATTTTAACTGATTAACAGTAACGTACACTTTTATTGTACACGACGACGCGCATTATTTTGTGATTCATAAAAAAATTGGGCTAGGCCACTTAATTATGTGATCAATTCTGTCGTTAAGCCCCCCACCACTCGATACAGCCAAACAAATTAAAAGTCACCTATAAGCGTTTAACGTGAATATTACAGTATTCATCTTCTTGGTTCTTTCGGTAAAGTCACGTGGAAGGGAAATCATAAAATAATAAAAATAAAACATAATAAAATAATTCTCACGACGTTTCGGCCACAACGCAAGCAGCCGTCCTCAGGTGAAAACCAGGTCTGTCGGGGGGACGCTGTGGCCGAAACGTCGTGAGAATTATTTTATTGTGTTTTATTTGTATTATTTTATTACTTCCCTTCTACGTGACTTTACCGAAAGAACCAAGAAGATGAATCCCTGCAGTCACGAAAGCTTTAAATCGAAACATTACAGTATTATTATTTCAGCTCACCAGTAAGTTGAAGAACAATTCTCACAACCAAATTTAGCAATTAGATGTGTAAATTTTGCTTCAAACTGCGTCAAGCATCTTCAGGATAAGAACCAGGAAGTCAGAATGAGCAAGTCACCTAATCCGACCTCTTATATAGGTGTCCGGACCTTACAGGAACCACCATTCTGACTGAAACGAGGGTTGGCCATTTGTAACCAGTATACCGGAAACCTAGATCCGGTTTACAAAACGTCAGGAACTGACTCCCAGTGGAGTTGTAGTAATGATTGCACTCACTGTGTGTGTGTGTGTCCATGTGTGTGTGTGTGTGTGTCGATGTGTGTGTGTGTCGATGTGTGTGTGTGTCGATGTGTGTGTGTGTCGATGTGTGTGTGAGTCGATGTGTGTGTGTGTACGTTCATGTGTGTGTGTGAGTCTGTGTGGAGTGTAGCGGTTAGCACGCTGCGCTATGAACCTGGCGACCCGGGTTCGATTCCCGCTCACGGCCAACACCAGTGACGATTATTTGAACCGGTTCTGGGCCTCCCCTAGGTCGACTCAGCCTGAAATGAGTAGCTGGTGTGGTGTGTAAACATCGCGACAGGGGAGACAAAAGGTGGTTGGGCGTGGTGCTGGCCTTCATAGGTGCTCGCTAACAGCACTTGCCCCTACAGTCTGTGAAGGCTATACAGGGTATCTTTGTGTGTGAGTCGATGTGTGTGCATGGGTCCATGTGTGTGTGTAAGTCAATGTGTGTGTGTGAGTCGATGTGTGTGTGTACGTCCGTGTATGTGTGTGTAAGTCGATGTGTGTGTGTGTGTGTGTAAGTCGATGTGTGTGCATGGGTCCATGTGTGTGTGTAAGTCAATGTGTGTGTGTGAGTCGATGTGTGTGTGTGTACGTCCGTGTATGTGTGTGTAAGTCGATGTGTGTGTGTGTAAGTCGATGTGTGTGCATGGGTCCATGTGTGTGTGTAAGTCAATGTGTGTGTGTGAATCGATGTGTGTGTGTGTACGTCCGTGTATGTGTGTGTAAGTCGATGTGTGTGTGTACGTCCGTGTATGTGTGTACGTCCTTGTATGTGTGTGTAAGTCGATGTGTTGTGTGTACGTCCGTGTATGTGTGTGTAAGTCGATGTGTGTGTGTGTGTGTACGTCCGTGTATGTGTGTGTAAGTCGATGTGTGTGCATGGGTCCATGTGTGTGTGTAAGTCGATGTGTGTGTGTGTACGTCCGTGTATGTGTGTGTAAGTCGATGTGTGTGCATGGGTCCATGTGTGTGTGTAAGTCGATGTGTGTGTGTGTAAGTCGATGTGTGTGTGTGTAAGTCGATGTGTGTGTGCGTCTTTTTCTCCCAGGCAACGCCGGGTACTTCCCACTATCTAACCGATAAAGTATGTTTTGTCTGTCTGTCTGTGTGTGGCCGACACTTGCAAGGGATTTGGCTCGCGAACCAAGGATTATTCAACATCGCCTTGCTAGGCATGCTGAGGAGAGGCTTGCGGAGCCCCAATGTGGTTTCAGGAAAGGGCGGTCCTGCACAGATGCCATATTTTCTGTCCGTCTGCTACAGCAGAGGTGTAGGGAATTCCAACAAGACTTACATCTCTGCTTTATTGACCTGGTCAAGGCCTATGATACCATCAGTAGGCCTGGGCTCTGGGTTGTTCTTCGTGCTTTCAGAGTCCCTGACCCTCTGCTCACGATCATTAAGGACCTTCATGATGGTGAGCGGGCCCGGGTAAAACTATGTGGCTGGGAGTCAGAGCCATTCCCTGTACACCTTGGGGTGCGACAGGGATGTCCTCTGGCTCCCACATTATTTAACATCTATTTTGACCACGTAGTTCGTGAAGCCTTCATTAGCTGTACTGGAGGAATTTCCATCTGGTACAGATATAATGGGAGGCTGAGCGATGCCCGGGTGCGGTCAAGGGATGGCTCCCTATTGCTCAACCACGTTATGTATGCCGATGATCTGGTAATTGCTACTCACTCAGAGGAGGAGTTAAAGGCGCTGCTGCTGAACCTGGAGCTTGCCACCAAAACTAAGCACCTGCCTGGGTATTTTGTACCATCAGAAACTCCACCCCCACAACTCCCAATTGCTGATGGGGCAGTTGTGGAGAGAGTGGAGAGTTCCCCATACCTTGGCAGTGTGCTCATGGCCAGCTCCGGTTTAACAGCAGAGGTCTCACTCCGAATTAGTCGAGTGGCATTATCTTTTCATCGGCTGCGTAACGCTGTGTGAAAGCTACCTGGTCTCTCGCTCCACACGAAGCTTCAGGTCTTCTCGGCCAGTCATTCCCTCCCTTCTCTACGCTTGCGAAACGTGGACCCCCCTAATGGAACATCTTCGCCGGTTAGAAACATTTAGGCTGGTCTGCCTACGATCCATCCTGGGTTTAATCAGACTGGATTGTGTGAGGAGCTCACACATCCTTGAAAGATGTGGACAACGTCCCATCGGTGAGCTCCTCCGGCAGGCAAGGCTGCGTTGGCTGGGTCATGTAGCCCGCATCTCCAGCCACCGCATGCCTAAACAGCTTTTGTTCGACCAGATCGAGGGGGCTAAACGGGCAAGGCATGGGCCAGAGAAGATATGGAGTGATGTGGTACAGGAGGACGTGGAGCTGAGTGGACTTGCCGATGACTAGTACCAGCGGTGTCAAGATCGGCCTCTGTTGAGGAGGCTCGTGAAGGCCGCTACTGGGCAGTTGGAGGCAGACGCCCTCCAACAACAACGGGGGGTAAAAACACTTTTTTAAGGGGGGGAGGTCGACAATTTTAGGAAACCTTTTAGATCAACTGCTGCATGTTGTGCTGCGTGTTCTCCTGCGTGTGTGCTGCGTGTCGTGCTGCATGTGTGCTGCATGTTGTGCTGCGTGTGTGCTGCGTGTGTGCTGTGTGTGTGCTGCGTGTGTGCTGCGTGTTTTCCTGCATGTTGTGCTGCGTGTGTGCTGCGTGTGTGCTGCATGTGTGCTGCGTGTTCTCCTGCATGTTGTGCTGCGTGTGTGCTGCGCGTTCTCCTGCGTGTGTGCTGCATGTTGTGCTGCGTGTGTGCTGCGTGTTCTGTTGTGTGTGTGCTGCGTGTCGTGCTGCGTGTGTGCTGCATGTTCTCCTGCGTGTGTGCGGCATGCTGTACTGCGTGTGTGCTGCGTGTGTGCTTATTCAGGTGGCATTGACCGCCGACTACTTCCTGGACTACATCTTGAAGAGTTACGGGAACGGCTCTGTGCTCACGACCCACGGTACAGCGCGGTCCGCCAAAGTGTTGCCGTCCAGGCCGATGACAATTCGCTTTTATTCAAAGGGGCCGTCCATAAATGACGTCACGCACCTAGGGGGGGGGGGGTCACACATTTGTGACGATGTGTGACGAGGGGGGGGGGTTGAGAAATGTGACGTCACATCAAAATGCGCAACTTTAAATATAGACAACACGTTCTACTTTATTAAATAGACTTTTTAATAAATGTTTTCTCCTACAACATCAGAGTGCAGCGCCACATTAAATACGCACTGCAATGACAATAGTCTAAAGCGATTTGAAGCATGTTTTATTTTTGCAGGGGGGGGGGGGCAGAGCTTTGTGACGTCATATTTGAGGGGGGGGGTCTGACTTTTTGTGACGCCGTGTGACGAAGGGGGGGGTCAAAAATCGTTCAAAATCGCGTGACGTCATTTATGGACGACCCCCAAGTCGTTCAAATCGGCGCGGCGAGTTAACGAAAAGGCATCCCGCGTTTCGGAGCACTTCATGTCTCGACACGGACCCCCGATGATGCCGTCGCGTGGTTGACGGGGGACGTTTGATGACCCCATCGATTCGGTGCATCTTGTTGCGTTTAGCTTTTATGTGACTACTGGTCGGATTTTATATCCGTATATAAACCAAGGCCGTAGCCATGGAGTCAACGTTGTGGGGGGACCAAATCTTCCAGGGGGTGTGGGGGTCCGCCCCCCAGAAAATAAATCTAAACTTGAAAACGAATTTCCTGCCTAAAATATTTTAAAAATTCACTAACACATGGGATGGACTTTTCATTTTATTTAGTACAATAATGTCTAATAGTGTATTGTATTACATTGCTCTGTTTTTTTCTTTTTTACCTTTTCTTGTTTCATTGTATGTAATGGCAATATATTGTGGGGGACATTTTGAGCATATTTGAATATTGGGGGGGGGGAGGGTGTGTCCCAATATATATTATAATTGTTTATGATATAAACATTGAAACATTACCCACGACTACATCACTCAGTTATACATTTAGAAGGTGCAGGCACTTTGAATAGATACTTTTCGTACTGTTGTTCATCAGCATTGCACACGCGCCTTGTACACATATAACGTATATGTTTCCGTGCAGGACTGGAGAAAATTATGCAAGACCTGGGTATTGGTGAAGAGCATCATGAACATACGAGGCAACGTCAATTAAATGCAAATGAGGTAGGAGCTGAAGTATTTCCCAACAGACCATGCACCTATTTTTCGATTTAAAGCTTTCGTGACTGCAGAGATTCATCTTCTTGGTTCTTTCGGTAAAGTCACATAGAATGGAAATAATAAAATAATAAAAATAAAACATTATAAAATAATAAAAATAAAACATAATAAAATAATTCTCATGACGTTTCGGCCACAACGCAAGCAGCCGTCCTCAGGTGAAGAGCAGGTCAGAGTCATTCAGAACCAAGAATATGAATTATTGCAGTCACGAAAATTTTAAGTAAAAATGTAACATTGCCCCTCCCGTGAAACCTCTGTGGACTGTGTCCGTGATCCACCCCGCAAATAACTTAATTGTTAAACATAGTGACCATCTACCGCTGCTCCTGAAAAAGGGAGACTCGGTGAGGCTTTCCTTGGTTAACAAGCATAATATTAAAATTAACAACCTATATGACTCATGTACCTGCTTGCCTGTACCGTGTGTTTACGCAAGATCCAGGCATGCATCTCATCGCACGATTTGACGGAAATCTTCGGAGTGTCAGGCGAGGTGTGGTCACGTAGCGAGCTGATGTCCGCGTCTCCGGCCTTGCTTCAACAACTCCTGAGCCACGCGTGCCGAGCGCCCAATGACACTCACACGGGAGAAGCAAATACGCGCCCCTCGAAAGCCCACAGTGAGTTTATTTTACACACCTAAACGCTCGCGAAAGGCCCATATGCACAGTGTGCCCACATGTTTCACATGCTAACGCACGCGGTGTATTACCCACAACTTGAAACTTACATTTCACCAAAATTCAGCCGTAGGATGATTTTCAGAGGACATGGATGTTGAAATTAACCATCATAGATAATGGTCACTGCGTATCATGTTGACTGGATGGTACAGTTATGGTTACGAGTCAAAAATGGATGTGGTGGAACATATTACGGATTAGGTGCTAGGGCATTCAAAATGATGGCCCTGCCGGTTGTTGGTAAGGGGACTCCAGTCTAGACAGGATGTGACAGAATGACAGAGGCAAACAGAATAGACCCATTGTGTTGTGTTGACATGAACACAGCTTTGGGCAGCCACGTGATGGAGTCATCGGTCTCCCCGAGTGGATGGCTCGAGAGGATCCACCCAGTGGCAGGGGCCAGGGGAAATTAAAGGACCAGTAGAGAATGAGACTTTGACTTTTAAACAACTTTTATTGCCGCCAGCAGCAAAAGCACTGGAGGCGATTTCAATATGAAATACATAAAAGTCACCAGCAAACAAAAGAAAACAAACGTTACAAATCGTTACAAATCCACGCGCTGTGGCGCTGAAAGCACCGCGCACAATACAAAAGAAAAGTCACGTGGTGGTGGTGGTCATCGCGCACGCCACAGTGACGAGCGAGTGCTTCACAAGGTGAACACGAGGGTGCCGTCCACGCTGGTGCAGAGAGAGGCTTTTCCGGCTCTCCAGCATTCGAAGAAGACGTGCACATCACCAACGTGTGTGTGGTACGCGTGCTCCAGCCGAAGCCGCGCCTTAAGCAGGCCTCTGAACACTGGAAGCACAGAGCAGCCGTCAGTGTCACCCTCCAGCATCTTTTTTCTCGTTCTGTACACCGCCATCTTCGCTTGCGCGCAGGCGAAGTTGGCGAGGTCATGGCGCTTGTTAGCCAGGTAAGGCACCACCCCATATGAGAGGGAGCGACGTGAGGACGGGGTTAGGGTTTTATCTCGGTGGGAGTGAGACGAAAGCGCCGGGCCCGGAGCGGTCGTGTGGAAGATGTGGGGACAACGTGGCGCTTTCGAGTTTGTGCACTAGATAGCTGGTGATGGATTGTTGATGGGAGTTATTTTGCTTTGTTTCCCGAGAGAGTGAAGCGCTTCCCCATTGTGCCCACGTCATGTGTGCCTGGTGTTAACAACGTTGCTCCTTTATTGGAGAAACTGCTTTGGCTGAGTTTACGTTAAGTCGAGCTAACCTTTCTTGCCCAGGAGATGTTTTTTTAATCAAGGTATGGGAAAACAAACGACGGGAGGAGGGAATTCCAAAGTGGAGCAGTGCAAGGAAAGGAACAGAAAGAGAAGCATTGTAGCTTTATAGAGGTGGTGGTTGAACGTGGGACAAATGAGACTGAATGCATACTCTTAGGTTTTTTCAGTAAAGTCACGTAGGTAAAAAAATTTAAAATAACTTATTTAATTTTGTTATTTGAGTATTTTTAATTTATTTTTATTCTTATTTTTTCCTACGTGACTTTACCGAAAAAACCTAAGAGTATGAATCCTTGCAGTCACGAAAGCTTCAAATCTAGAATGAGACTGAATGGTCTGCTAGAACGGCTCTTCGACATGTGAAGAGGACCCAATGAATGCAACTCAATGGAACACTAACCATGGTAGTCGCGCTAGAAGGACGATAAGGAAGCCACCGACCGCCGATGTATTTGTATAATTGTTATTAGATGGCAGGTGATAACTGACAAGGTGATAACTGACAACAATGATCGTTATGGCTAATCCACAGAGTACGGATATGGAACGCTGGCATCCTTGCTGGTGAGCGCTCTGTCCCTCATCGGAGTGGTCACCGTGACTTGTTCCTCATGCACGCACGTCTACGTGTACAGCCAGCAGGCGCTCTTCGGCCTTGCCGTCGGAAGCATGACTGGGGACGCCATACTGCACCTACTGCCCAAGGTGAGTTTAACGCGCAGTAGGAGGCTTTCGCGACCATAGCAAAGGTTTATATGGGTTAGATCGCGTAAATATAAATGTGTCGTCAAACCCGCCACCACCCAACGCAGACAATTAGTAAGGTTTGTCACTTAAAGAAGACGTGACAATTCGTTATTAGTTCAGCACACCGGTGTGTGACAGTAAACCCACAACATTTGCAATTCGAGTACTGCCCAAGGTGAGTTTAACACGCAGTAGGAGGCTTTCGCGACCATTATTATCAATAGCAAAGGTTTCTATAGGTTAGATCGCGTAAATATAAACGTGTCGTCAAACCCGCCACCACCCAACGCAGACAATTAGTAAGGTTTGTCACTTAAAGAAGACGTGACAATTCGTTATTAGTTCAGCTCACCGGTGTGTGAGAGAGTACACCCACAACAATTACAATTTGAGTGGCGTGACGTTTCGCCAGTGATTACAACCAGCCTAATCAGGTGGCAGCCAGGGTTGTGGAGAAATCCTCCTCCTGTTTCAATCTTGAATAGAGGGATAAGTAAATGAAACAATTAAATAAGCGTACATGTGATGATGATTCCTAAGGTGAGTGTAGAATTCCTGCCACCCACACGCAGATCACGTCACTTCCCAGCCAGGTGGCAACTCGAGCATAGATGCAGTTTTATGGGGTCAACAAAGTATACTTTTTGTAGTAATAGGTTTTTACCCTTTCAACTGGTATAAAAATTGACAACTTTATACAAGGCATCATGTTTGCAATAGCCGCAATAAAAGCAGTCAAAATGCAAACAAAAAGAAACAACTGTGATGACGGTAATGATATGCACTGTCCTTGAAGTTGATTGGTCCACACCCGAGACATCTTTTCTTAGAGCCTAGTCTCCATTGGCTATGAAATACCTCACCGTAATGTGGTTTACAAGGGTAAACAGCGAGCGCAAACAAATTACGTTACGTACGCAGAATTTAGTTTGTGTTCGCTTGCGGTTACCAGCTAGATAGGATACCTCACAAATTGGACAAATAGGTTAAATATTGGTGTTCATTATTCGTACTTTTACTTCCCAGAACCATGTTGGGTCAAGCAAGGGGGTTACTCGGTTGAAACTACTCAAGAAGGGGGGTAACAGCAGTAGCCAAACAAGACTGAGAACCACTGGCTTAGTGTGCAATGTACATTACCTGCTGTGAAATTGATCAGAAACGTGGACATTGACAAAGAATAGAACAATAGATTTAAAAAAAAATAACCCGTAAAAACAAAGTTTTTCACTATAAATCCTTTATATGCGTGGCGGCTAGAGTCCTCTCGTCCTCTGGCTTGAGATGGCTGCCACCTATGGGTCAGATGATTGCCTGCCACCATTAAGCAATTGGTAATTAAATATAAAAAAAATTCCTAAAAAGTGTAAAGTTATGGAATTTTTTTCACGAAAATAAATTGTCACGCATAACGAGTCTGTGTGGAAAATGTCAGCTCGATTGGATCACGGGAAGTGGGTTAAAAAACGACCGAAAGATTTGCACGGTCGTAAGCGCGCAAGCAAGCAAGTTAACTTAATATAAAGGATTTAAAAATAATGAATACCCAGAGATGGTTAACCGAGATTAATTCCCAAAACGAGACGGTGAGATATTGCCAGAGTGGAGGCAAAGCCCAGATGGTAATTGTCCAAGACGTGGAAACAGGGAGTGATTGTGAACTGTGGTAGCATCACAACTCGTGGCATTGATGTCCTTCTCGTCATCAATTTATTTCAGTTATAGGAGGTGCCGTTCTACTGCGCAGCCAATTTAAGGATATGTCTGTCCTCCGACTTGGCCTAAAATGAACACCGAGTTTGGCATTTGACACCATCACTGGATAGCCTGCAATAGTCTTCACATCCATTAGTTTAATTCACTTATTTTACACGAATTAACACGGTTTCATTCATGGTGCTTGCCTTATACTTGAATTTAAACAAATGTATGTTTGTCTCTGTGTGTTGTTATGTGTTCACCAGCTGTTGGGATTGCACGTTCATTCCGCGGAGGACGACTTGCATGCTAACGACAATTTATACATTTGGAAGCTCTTAACCGTGATTGGAGGCTTATATGTGTTTCTGATGCTGGAACAACTGTTCACTATCTTGACAAGAGACGACGCAAAGGTAGCAGCAATAAACAGGCACGTGTGTGTGTGTGTGTGTACAGAAGTGTCATGATGCTGAGTTCGTGTGCTTGCAGTGGTATCAGTATGGCTACGGTAGTATGAGTGGTACCGCAAAACAGTGAATAGTGCTGCACACAAAGCAACATGGGGCAGTGAGCTAGCAATGCAAACTTTTGTAAATCCACTCTAAAACATTGATTTAAACTTTGACATCAGTGATTGATTCACTTAGCCGTGTATGTATGCTAAACTTCTTCTTGGTTTTTTCGGTAAAGTCACGTAGAAGGGAAATAATAAAATAATACAAATTAAACATAATAAAATACAATTCTCACGACGTTTCGGCCACAACGCAAGCAACCGTCCTGCGTTGTGGCCGAAACGTCGTGAGAATTGTATTTTATTACGTGTTATTATTTTATTATTTTAATTATTTCCCTTCTACGTGACTTTACCGAAAGAACCAAGAAGATGAATCCCTGCAGTCACGAAAGCTTTAAATCGAAATTCATGCTAAACTTTTTTCACACCGTACGTATCCGATCAGAAGTCCGTTATCTTACCACATAAGAAGCCTAATTTCCATTCTTTTATTATGCCAAGTGAGACGTGAATAGCAGAGGAAAACTCTGATTATGGCCGTGGTAATATGTTCGTTAAAATATGATACATGTATTTAGCTTTTCATATAACCTTTCTTTTTGTATTGGTAGCAGTGTTGCAGGGCTATCCACAGCTTTACGAATAGACTTTAAGAATCTCACCTCATGAGGCTCTGGAACCCGTTGTGGTTACCGGTTATGTAGTTAGGGGCCGTCCATGCATGACGTCACGCACCTAGGGGGGGGGGGGTTAGACATTTGTGACGATGGGGGGGGGGGTTTGAGAAATGTGACGTCACATCAAAATGCGCAACTTTAAATAAATATAGACAACACGTTCTACTTAATTAAATAGACTTTTAATAAAAGTGTTCTCCTACAACATCAGAGTGCAGCGCCACATTAAATACGCACTACAATGACAATATTTTAAAGCGATTTGAAGCATGTTTTATTTTTGGGGGGTGGGTAGAGTTTTGTGACTTCATATTTGAGGGGGGGTCTGACTTTTGTGACGCCGTGTGACGAAGGGGGGGGGGGGGTGGTCAAAAATCGTCAAAAATCGCGTGACGTCATTTATGGGCGGCCCCTTACCCCGTTGTGGTCGTATAATAAACGTGTTGCCTCCTGAATGAGTGTGTCTCTCGAGTGACCCCACTACACATGGAGTCTGTGTGTGGGCAAGCAGCCTAGTGGCCGCATGATCAGCTCAGCGGGTGCGGCAATGGGTCAGATGGTGGCCCCACTGTTTGATTTGTCTCGCACGGTCGCACCTAGGAGGCCATGAGATATTACGGGCTCGCCTTGCCTAATCGCATCGCTACGCTCACGGTCTCGAACATTGCACGCTGTGGGGGCGCTCCGTTTTCAATAAGTGTTCTTGTTGTTGTTGTTCTCTGACACTTGTTGTTGTTCTCTGACACTGTTGTTGTTGTTCTCTGACACCTGTTAAAACACGTCTCATGGTGGTTGTCAAGGAGGGGGCCCAACTCGTAGCTTTGGCCACCAGTGGGGTCACCAGTGGGGTCACCAGTGGGGTCACCAGTGGGGTCACCGGTGGGGCCACCAGTGTGGCCACCAGTGGGGGCCACAAGTGGGGCCACGAGTGGGGTCACCAGTGGGGCCACCAGTGGGGCCACCAGTGGGGCCACCAGTGGGGCCACCAGTGGGGCCACCAGTGGGGTCACGAGTGGGGCCACGAGTGGGGCCACGAGTGGGGCCACCAGTGGGGCCACCAGTGGGGTCACCAGTGGGGTCACCAGTGGGGCCACCAGTGGGGTCACCAGTGGGGTCACGAGTGGGGTCACCAGTGGGGCCACGAGTGGGGCCACGAGTGGGGTCACGAGTGGGGTCACGAGTGGGGTCACGAGTGGGGCCACGAGTGGGGTCACGAGTGGGGTCACGAGTGGGGCCACGAGTGGGGTCACGAGTGGGGTCACGAGTGGGGCCACGAGTGGGGTCACCAGTGGGGGCACGAGTGGGGTCACGAGTGGGGTCACGAGTGGGGCCACCAGTGGGGTCACCAGTGGGGCCACGAGTGGGGTCACGAGTGGGGTCACCAGTGGGGCCACGAGTGGGGCCACCAGTGGGGTCACCAGTGGGGCCACGAGTGGGGCCACGAGTGGGGTCACCAGTGGGGCCACCAGTGGGGTCACCAGTGGGGCCACGAGTGGGGTCACCAGTGGGGCCACCAGTGGGGCCACGAGTGGGGTCACCAGTGGGGCCACGAGTGGGGTCACCAGTGGGGCCACTAGTGGGGCCACGAGTGGGGTCACCAGTGGGGCCACCAGTGGGGCCACGAGTGGGGTCACCAGTGGGGCCACCAGTGGGGCCACGAGTGGGGTCACCAGTGGAGCCACCAGTGGGGGCCACCAGTGGGGCCACTAGTGGGGTCACCAGTGTGGCCACGAGTGGAGGCCACGAGTGGAGGCCACGAGTGGAGGCCACCAGTGGGGCCACCAGTGTGGCCACCAGTGTGGCCACGAGTGGGGTCACCAGTGGGGGTCACCAGTGTGGCCACGAGTGGAGGCCACGAGTGGAGGCCACCAGTGGGGCCACCAGTGTGGCCACCAGTGTGGCCACGAGTGGGGTCACCAGTGGGGGTCACCAGTGTGGCCACGAGTGGGGTCACCAGTGGGGGTCACCAGTGTGGCCACGAGTGGAGGCCACCAGTGGGGCCACCAGTGTGGCCACCAGTGTGGCCACGAGTGGGGTCACCAGTGGGGGTCACCAGTGTGGCCACGAGTGGGGTCACCAGTGGGGGTCACCAGTGTGGCCACGAGTGGAGGCCACCAGTGGGGCCACCAGTGGGGGGGTCACCAGTGGGGCCACCAGTGGGGGGGTCACCAGTGGGGGGGTCACCAGTGGGGCCACCAGTGGGAGCCACCAGTGCCCCGCGCTCGTTACGCGACTGCTGGATCGTGTCCTGTTTTAAATGTACGCCAGATATCTTCTACAATCGTTTTTTTTTATTTCACAACCGTTTTTTGTGAAATTCGATTCGCCGTTCAAAGTGCAAATTATACTCGAGGAGACGCTTTAGGGTTTCGTATAGCCACTGCCAGATGAATAAAGTCTCAAGTCGAGATTAGGGCTCTATAACGGCCAAAGGGGGGGGGGGGGCTATGGGATACTTAGAACCTGTAGGGGAGAATGTGTGGCCTTTGGATCTATGGACATGGGGTAGAATGGGATCCCAGGAGACTGCATGGAAAGAGAGTTCAAGAAACTCCATAGAAAATTCAGCAGAATGAGGGCTCTGTAAAGCCCATCATGCAGGGAGGAGGTGTGATGGACGTCCACTCGACGTAGAGATTGTGTGTGTGTGCGCCAGTGAGCTGGCTGCTGTAACCACGCTGCTGTTTTGTGATTGCAGGTTAACGATGAGTGTGATCTTCACGGATGCAAAATGGAGACGTGTACAGACGTCGGCAAGACGGTGCAAATAACCACACACGCATGCGCGCGTGTTCTCATACTTACATAGCTCAACAACGACAGCCGCTTGATAACCAAAACTATGTGTGTAAACATCCCCCTGGATAAAGGCAGGGTTCATGTAGAAATAACCAAAACGCAACACGTAAAAAAAATGTATACGTATTAAACTCATTTGTATTCAAAATAAAATGTTGCGTCTTGGGCAAAACTGCTGCGGAGAGGTCAATGTAACGATCATTCGCACAATGCACGTTGTGACGTATTCCTGGGCCCAATTCTAATTTCAAGAGGGTCGGAGAAGCTTTCAAGAACTCGGAGCGTCAAAGGGGCTTCAAAAGTTTAAAATTCCTGGACTTTAAACAGGGTAAAGGCATTTATGGGAGACAATTTCAAGCTACAGCAGTGTAATTTGAGTGTCTTTTTAGCTTTTGCATAGAGCATTCATCATTTAAAATAAATAAATAAAACACAGGCATGAAATCAATCTCTTGCTAACAACAAGTTGATATTCAATCCAACGAAATGTATAAATCAAGTCCCTTACCCATGACTCCTAATATTAGCAGGGTTGGAACAATCATCACTTCTCCCAACCATCATTCACCACTCCTAACATAGGCGATGGGTGCTGAAATCATCTCATCCAGAGCATCCATGGACACAGAAATCACGACAGTCGTGTCATTGACATCCTACAAATGTCGTCTCACTCAATGGGCGGACATGTGGGCAGAGGCCCTAGGGGGGGGCGGTGCGGGGTCCCAGGCTGGGCACGGGGCACACAAGACTCAAGTGTACAAGTCATTTGTAAAGTCACGTAGAAGGGAAATAATAAAATAATAAAAATAAAACATAATAAAATACAATTCTCACGACGTTTCGGCCACAACGCAAGCAGCCGTCCTCAGGTGAACAACAGGTCTGTCGGAAAGACAGCGTCTGAATGGCAGACCTGTTCTTCACCTGAGGACGGCTGCTTGCGTTGTGGCCGAAACGTCGTGAGAATTGTAGTTTATTATGTTTTATTTTTATTATTTTATTATTTCCCTTCTACGTCACTTTACCGAAAGAACCAAGAAGATGAATCCCTGCAGTCACGAAAGATTTAAATCGAAATTTAAGTCGAAATTTAAGTAATTTGTATTTTAAGAATATGTTTTTACCCTTTCCGGCAATAAAACAGTTGTGTTAAGATGTTAAGACACCCAACATAAACCTTTTTACAAGGAATCCTGTCTGCATTAGACACACACGTACTTGTGGTCAAACAAAACACATGCTCTGGTAGTCTATGCATTGTCTTTGAAACTGATTTGTATTTGGTAATAACGAAGAGGGCAAAACTATTCTGTTTAGCTGAAACTTCTCCTTAACTTCTCTTGCACAGGTCCTCTCCGACAAAGAGAAACAAGACATTTCATATGAAAAGGACACCCAACAAACGGGAAAGATCAACTTGTCAACTATTGATTTGGTACGTTTTGGTTTATTGTGTGCTACTTTGTGGTGAATAGCAAATATCGTTTGTTGTCATCTGTTTTGTTAAGATGCCCAGTGGCGGTGTTTGTATGTATGCTGAACTTCGTTCGCACCGTACGTAGCCAACCGTGCTTATCGAAGGTGCGGGTTGGAGGGAGGGTGTTTGACGGACGGTGGCAAGATTTGTAGATCAGCTGGTAGGGGATGGAATTGTGGAGACTGTGAAATTGCAGATAAGGGTTCTCTGCAGATGAGGTCAACAGACAATGCATCTTCATATATCGGTCTCCACGTAAAAGAGTAGACGGTCTTTTTAACCAAACCTATTGGCCCCCACGGCCTTCTGGGACTGCATCATTTCTGCAGCGGTGATTCAATGTGTAGTAATAGGTTTTTACCCTTTCATCTGGTACAAAAAACTGACACCTTTATTCAAGGCATCATGTTTGCAATAACCACAACACAAGCAGTCAAAATGCAAACAAAAATAAACAACTCTGATGATGATAATGATATGCACTGTCCTTGAAGTTGATTGGTCCACACCCGAGACAGCTTTCCTTAGAGCCTAGTCTCCATCGGTGTTGGACCAGATGACGCCAAAAGGCGTACAACTCAAAGACAGCGCACTATCAGAGTATTGAGAGCTCGGGGTAAGCATTTACACTATGATACATCTCCTTTACCAGTGGCAAAATATAGTAAGTAGGTAAAAACCTACTGCTATATTTTGCCACTGGTAAAGGAGATGTCTCATAGTGTCAATGTGTAGTGTTGTACACGGAGACACACACTTGTTCTTGGAAGCAACACGTTCATTACAACACACCTAACAGGGTTCCTACATAAACGTACACCTGGTTCTACATCTAGGTGATAACTACACGGTTAACTAGAACACAACGGGGTATCTACATAACCGGGTCAGTCAGCTAACACACTGCCTGACCCACGATGCCGAGCGTAGACATCGAAGACCGAAGAATGGAAATAATAAAATAATAAAAATAAAACATTATAAAATTATTCTCACGACGTTTCGGCCACAACGCAAGCAGCCGTCCTCAGGTGGAGAACAGGTCTGTCGAGAAGACAGAGTCTGAATGACACACCCCAGGCTTGGAGCGACTATTTAAGCTGGGATGGAGGGGGTAAAGAGCGCCTTGATATGCAAATTATTTTGTCAAGGCGCTCTTCCCCCCTCCATCCCAGCTTCAATAGTCGCTCCAAGCCTGGGGTGTGTCATTCAGACTCTGTCTTCTCGACAGACCTGTTCTCCACCTGAGGACGGCTGCTTGCGTTGTGGCCGAAACGTCAGTGAGAATTATTTATTATGTTTTATTTGTATTATTTTATTTCCATTCTACGTGACATTACCGAAAGAACCAAGAAGATGAATCCCTGCAGTCACGAAAGCTTTAAATCGAAAAATGAAGACCGAAGATTGAAGATCGAGGATCCAAGAGACGTAGCACCAACGGGTTCCAGCCCCAAACCTCCTCGCGACTGCCCCTTTAGCCTGCTGAGCCTGGCTCCGCCCTCGGCCACACCTTTTTCTAGATCCTACCAGAAGGCTCTGGCCCATATCACGTGTCCCTCGAGCCACCCCTTTCGAACCCCCTTACTACCCTGCCCCGGTCACGTGCCCTCTCGGGTTCACCCAGAGTATCACGTCCTCACTTATTCTCTCTCCGACCCTCACCAGAACTATGCCCCCCTAGGGCTCGCTTCCATGCCATGTCCACTCTGGTGCCAGAGAGAGACTCAAGATGCACAGTTACACCTCTGTGACAGTAGCTGGCGATAGCCACCCTAGTGACTCCATATAAGTCACTACAAAACTTTATGATCCTACACCAGCCTGCAACCCGACATAATCCTAAACCAGCAGCAGCCTGCAACCCTCTATAATCCTATACCAGCAATAAGCTGCAACCCTATATAATCCTACACCAGCCTGCAAGCCTCTATAATCCTATATCAGCAGTAGCCTACAACCCTATATAATCCTACACCAGCCTGCAAGCCTCTATAATCCTATATCAGCAGTAGCCTACAACCCTATATAATCCTACACCAGCCTGCAACCCTCTATAATCCTATACCAGCAGGAGGCTACAACCCTATATAAGCCTACACCAGCCTTCAACCCTCTATAATCCTATACCAGCAGGAGCCTTCAACCCTATATAATCCTACACCAGTAGCAGCCTTCAACCCTATATAATCCTACACCAGTAGCAGCCTTCAACCCTATATAATCCTACACCAGTAGCAGCCTTCAACCCTATATAATCCTACACCAGTAGCAGCCTTCAACCCTATATAATCCTACACCAGCCTGCAACCCTCTATAATCCTACACCAGTAGCAGCCTTCAACCCTTTATAATCCTACACCAGTAGCAGCCTTCAACCCTATATAATCCAAAGAGAAAGTGAGCTGCTTAATTTCGTTCTTGAAGAAGCCCCCAGCACATTTAGCGAAATGTCAGACATCATGCCAAACATACAGGACAACCAGACTAAACAGTGCAGTGAAGAGTGTGTGTCATTGTCATTCAGTGACAGCCATGAGCAGTGCCGGTTAAGTATTCGGTCTCGGTGATTTTCACATTTCATCATTTATTATTGCAGATTGCAGAACATGAAGCGTCTCACCTGCCAATCTCCATCAGAAAAAAAGGCACGTGAGCTCAAGTATTGTGATGCCAAATCAAGTGTATGCGTGCGTCAGTCAGAGAATGTTCGGAAAGACTTGTAGTAGTACGGGCGTGTCATGCTTAAGGAGCGTTCTTTTTATGAGAAGCCCACCATCAGGACCATCACTGCCAACTACTACCATCACCACTAGCAGCAACTTCCCTTACATTAACATTAGCTGCCCCGCCCATGCTGCTAACATTTTAAACCTTCATAAACAGTTTGCCTTTAGAGGCTAACCTCCTGTTCCTGATGACGACCGCTTGTGTTGCGATCGAAACGTCGTAGTTTTTTGTTATTTTCTTTGAACCTATCTACTTGACTTTACCGAAAGACCCAAAGAATATGAATCCTATATACCAGCAGTAGTCTGCAACCATAAATAATTATCCTACACCAGCAGCGTGCCAATTGGTTACTAGTTCAGCACTAACCGGTGTGTTGGAAAGGAAACCCACAACATTTATCATTTGAGTAGCGTGACGCTTCACTGATTGTACTCGCCAGCAAAACGTCGCAGTTCTCGAATTTGTTAATATTTACATGACAAACCTTGCTAATTCGCTGTGTCGGGTGGCGGCGGGTTTAACTACAAATGTATATTGATATATTGACGCTGCTGCTGCTGTTGCTGCTGCTGCTGTTGCTGCTGCTGCTGCTGTTGTTGCTGCTGCTGTTGCTGCTGCCGCCGTTTCTGCTGCGGGTAATTTCAGGTCTCAACGCGATCGTGCTCATGGTGCTGATCGGTGATGGCCTCCACAACTTCGCCGACGGGCTGGCCCTGGGGGCCGCCTTCTCGCTGTCCCTCGGCGATGGGCTGGCCACCATGCTGGCGGTGGCGCTGCACGAGCTGCCGCACGAGATCGGTGAGCCCCCCCCCCCACCCCTCTCAGCGAGGGCGGCGACGAGAAGAGCAAGATGAAGAAGTAGACCATCGCCGTGAGCGGCGCGCTGGCCCCGTGCCCGGGGGTCACCGTGCCCGGGGGTCACCGTGCCCGGGGGTCACCGTGCCGAAGGTCACCGTGCCGGAGGTCACCGTGCCGGAGGTGACCGTGCCGGAGGTCAATGTGCCGGAGGTCACTGTACCAGAGGTCACTGTGCCCGGAGGTCACCGTACCGGAGGTCACCGTGATGGAGGTCACCGTACCGGAGGTCACCGTACCAGAGGTCACCGTGCCGGGGGTCACCGTACCGGAGGTCACCGTGACGGAGGTCACCGTGCCCGGAGGTCACCATACCGGAGGTCACCGTGACGGAGGTCACCGTGCCGGAGGTCACCGCGTGTGTTGAACGCAATTCTCTAGCCCAGTGGTTATTCTCAAACTATTTTTTGCTACTGTTGATCCCCTTGTTGAATTTTGTTTCAACTGAGTAACCCCCTTGCCTGGCCCATCATGGTTCTGAGAAATTGATATTTTAACCAATTGTCCATTTTGTGAGGTGTCCTAACGAGCTAGTCACTACAAACGAATAACAAACAAAAAATCAACGGACGCTCTGCACGCGTGAGGTCATTTGTTCGCACTCGCTGGTTACTCTTGTAAACCGCATTGCTTACGGTCAATGAGTTTAGAAATGTTTTTTTTTAATCGTGCTCAGTTACCGTATGCATTTAAATTATAGCGTAGTTCTTTTTTCTTGGCAGATTCACACATGATTATTCAGCAATGACTCACGTGTCTGATATAATTTCACACCTTCGTAAAAAAAAAACACCCCACGTATCCGCTGGCACATTGCCGCATACCCCCGGTTGAGATCCACTACTCGCGTGGCTAACGCCGCTGACGCGTCGTTTTCCGCACGAGCTCCGTCATTACATTCGCACAATTTCTCATCCTTCTTGTCGTCGTGCGGCTGATGTAGATGCAGAGCAACAGCGACAATTCCACATTCGGGTGGTCAAGCCCGATAAATTAAATACGACTACCGAGAGCCTTGCCAGACAACATCGCCATGGGCACGTGCGTGCCGCGTGTGTGGAGTGACAAAGTGTGGCAGAGTAATAGGAGAGGGACACTGCCGTCAAATCTGATGGCATTCGAGATATTTTATCAACTCAAAACGAAACTTAGTTTTTTGGTTGATAGCCGAGGGCGGTGGTGTGAAATCTACCGCGCTTCTGTGATCCATTCTAAAATATAGCGCTGACTTTCTCCGGTGCCTCTTGGGCTCATGTTATATTTTCGCTGTTTTTTGTTTGTTATTCTCGTGTGTTTTGTGTACGACCGCTAAATACCTTTGTGTGTGCTCGTTCTCTACAATGTTACAAATATTTCTCGTTTAGGTTTTGTTGTTGCTGTGCCTCAAGCACCAAGGATCCCCCCCCTTGTGAAATAGCCGGGCAACTGGCTACACGGGAACATCCCAGTGTCGCCACGGTGGCTAGGAGATGTTAACTATCTCGCCTGGTACACAGAAGTGCTTGGGTTCGATCCCGAGCGTGGTGCTGGCCACCCACCCCATCGTGTGCCGTTCCGGCCTTCATAGTTGCTGCTACTAGCTAACAGCACTTGCCCCAACAGTCTGGTTAAGGCTATACCAGGGGGATCTTTGTCTTTGTGGAATGCTCCTCGCAGGAGACTTTGCCATCCTGCTCAACACGGGACTGTCCGTCCGGGCTGCCCTGGGGCTGAACCTGCTGAGTGCCCTCACGGCGCTCGTCGGCTTCTACATTGGGGCCTCCGTGTCGGAAAACGAGATGGCCATGCAGTGGATTATCGCCTTTGCAACGGGCATGTTCCTGTACCTGTCCATCAACAACATGGTGAGCGCCGTTCTCTCGTCTGTGCAGGGCACCGACAGATCGCAGTCACTGGGACTTTTCCGTGAATAGTAGCAGCAACAAAACCTGCCCAAGCTGCCTCCCTCTCCCTGATGTAACTTTCGCCTGTCTTTCTCACCCCGTGTCCCCTTCTCCTCCACTCCCACCTCGTGTCTCTTCTCAACTCCACTCTCATCTCCACTCAAACCCCGTGTGTCCACGATCATCTCCGCGTTTATACACTCTCCCCTCGCGTCTCTCCATCCCCACTCTCATCTCACACATCTCCTCGTATCTCTCTTTCTCTCTCCTGTCTTTCTCTCACTTCTCTCGCCTCTCCACGTCGCCGAGTCGTAGGGATGCGTTTCCTCTAACGGTGCACTTTACCCCCTTTGCAGATCTTCGAGATGAAGCGATCCCACGTGGACCGGCCCTGGCTCCTGCTGCTGTTGCAGAATCTGGGATTGTTCCTGGGCTGGGCGTGCATGCTGCTCTTGGCTCTCTACGAGGACAAACTCCACTTTTAATACTCAGCTGACAGACAGCCTCTCACCAAACTCACACACGCGCGCACAAAGACAAAGATCCCCCGTGTAGCCTTAACAGACTGTTGGGGCAAGTGCTGTTAACGAGTAGCAGCACCGATGAAAGCCGGCATAGTACACGAGGGGGTGGCTGGCCAGCACCACGCCAGGCCGCCTTTGTCTCCCCAGTGGTGATGTTTACTACACACCGTACCAGGCACTAATTGGAGGCTGAGTCGACCTAGGAAAGGATGACCCAGGACCGGTTCAGATAATCGTCACTGGTGTTGGCCGTGATCGGGAATCGAACTCGGGTCGCCGAGTGGGGAAGGACAGACGACCCGGTGTGTCTCACGGTCGATTCTCCTGCACGTTGGAACCACAAACCCCCGAGAATGGAGAACGGAGTACGGGACACTACTGGCCCACGTGGCAATGACCGAGTCCGCAAGCTGTCACAGTGCATCCATTGCCTTGAGGTCATTTTTATTAAATCCTTTATATTAAGTTCACTTGCTTGCTTGCTTGCCTTACGACCGTGCAAATCTTTCGGTCGTTTTTTTACCCACTTCCCGTGATCCAATCGAGCTGACATTTTGCACACAGACTCGTTGTGCGTGACTATTAATTTTCGTGAAATTTTTTTCCAAAATTTTACACTTTTTAGGAATTTTTTTTTATATGTAATTACCAATTGCTTAATGGTGGCAAGCAATCATCTGACCCATAGGTGGACAGCCATCTCAAGCCAGAGGACGAGAGGACTCTAGCCGCCACGAATATAAAGGATTTATATTGAAAAACTTTGTTTTTACGGGTTAATTTTTTACACAATGGTGTTGCGTTTTAAACCTTCTCTTGTTGTTCTCTGTCCACAAAAGATTGGGGAAATCTTTGTCATTTTTCAAGGCTCACTTCTTCCGATGAAGCTTTGCGAACGATGAGAAAGTTAAATTTCGATTTAAAGCTTTCGTGACTGCAGGGATTCATATTCTTGGTTCTTTTGGTAAAGTCACGTAGAAGGGAAACAATAAAATAATAAAAATATAAAATAAAATCACAGCAAGAAAATAATTTCAAATTTTCTTGCTGTGGTTTTCACACCTGGTGATGGTTGCTTGTGTTGCAATGGAAACGTCATGAGATTTGTATTGTTTTATATTTTTATTATTTTATTGTTTCCATTCTACGTGACTTTACCGAAAGAACCAAGAATATGATGAGAACACGTTGTCAACCATGGCAAGAGAGCGCAACTGTGAGCCTGGGCATATCTACATCACATTACACTGACGGTCATTTCGGTAAAATTCTCTCGCGCACTCAAGCTCGTATTCAAGCATCATCTTACGGTACTTGTTGACATGACAACGTTAAAACGCATGCATGAGTCTCATCCGAAGCGTCAGCCAGGGCCGCCTGCTGTTCCAAGTCAATAGAAATACCATAGAGTACACGACAACATCAAATGCAAATCTGTGTGTGCTTAAACAGGTCGTGGACTACACTGACAATACATCGAGACGCAATGCAGCGCATGCCCCCGGTATTGCTGATCTACAAAGATCCCCCGTGTAGCCTTAACAGACTGTAGGGGCAAGTGCTGTTAGCGAGCAGCACCTATAAAGGCCGGCACAGCACACGAGGGGGTGGGTGGCCAACACCACTGCCCGGCCGCCTTTGTCTCCCTAGTGGCGATCTTTACACATCGCACCGGGTACTCATTTGAGGCTGAGTCGACCTAGGGGAGGCCTAGTACCGGTTCAGATAATCGTCACTGGGTGTTAGCCGTGAGCGGGAATCGAACCCGGATCGCGAAGATGATAGCGCAGTGCGCTAACCACTACACCACCGCTCCCCACACACACAACACACACAACACAAACACGCGCATCAACATGCCAAAATACGCGTCAACACGTCACGGCTCCAGCACGTTTTAATCTAGAAAGCGGGACTGTGTATGGCAACGACACGATTGAGGTGTCGCATTTATTAAACTATTGAAAATCATGATATTGACTTGCCTAATTTCGCTATTAATAGTCTAAGGCTTCTAAGTCGACACTTGTCCCGGTTTTATGTGGAAAAGGTGGCAACCCTGCCACTCCGCAACTCACCCACTCACACTCTCACTAACTCACTCCTTCATGAATTCACTCATGAATTGGCCAAGCTTCTGGGTAACTCACACACACACTCTCACTAACTCACTCCTTCATTAATTCACTCACGAATTAGCCAAGCATCTGAGTAATTCTCACACTCTCACCAACTCACTCCTTCATGAATTCACTCATAAGTTAGCCAAGCCTCTCAGTAACTCGCCCACTCACACTCTCACTAACTCACTTTCATGAATTCATTCATGAATTAGCCAAGCTTCTGAGTAACTCACCCACTCACACTCTCACTCACTCCTTCATGAATTCACTCATGAATTAGCCAAGCCTCTGGGCAACTCACCCACTCGCACGCTCACCAACTCCTTCATAAATTCACTCATAAGTCAGCCAAGCCTTTGAGTAACTCACCCACTCACACTCTCACTAACTCACTCCTTTATGAATTCACTCATGAATTAGCCAAGCTTCTGAGTAACTCACACTCTCACCAACTCACTCCTTCATGAATTCACTCATAAGTTAGCCAAGCCTCTGGTTAACTCACCCACTCACACTCTCACTAACTCACTCCTTCATGAATTCACTCATGAATTAGCCAAGCCTCTCACCCACTCAGTTTTGACAGGCTGAGGTAATGTCCGGCTTTTATCGACGGTGTAGAACGTGACGGCTCTACGACTTCAGGCGACGTCCAACACCAACGATCACAGTGACCTTGGACATTTGAAGAGCAGCAAGCCTCCATTTGTGGTTTGTCTCGATGGTACTGAGAGAACAGGCCATTAACTAAGAAATCACGCTGCGATGTGGTAACTGGTCACCAAATTGTACACTCCCGACTGGTCACCACATAAGGGCTGCTGAGATGTTAACTACCTCGCCTGATACACAGGAGGTCGTGGGTTCAATCCCAACCCTGACGGCTGCTGTATATTTGGAGCTTGCGTGTTTTCCCAGTGGTCGCGTGGATTTTTCTCGGGGTTCTCCGGTTTTTCCCTTCACATTCAGCATCAACGTGCGTTTAGAGTGTTTGGCTGCTAAACATTTTCCACATAAGCCCACTTCGTTGAGCTATCATTTGTGGCCAGGTCGCTTCTGAAAAAGTGCCTTATAGTAGCTCAGTGGACCTTACCTGGTGAAATAAAAAAAGGAAATGTGGAGTGTTGCAAAGTTGCCTGGCGCAGATTCAAGTGAAACATCGTATTGCTAATTTGGATGCGAGAATTATTTTTCCACTTGGCGGCTGAGCTAAAGCAAGAAAGAATTGGCGCCTTAATAGTGCATTGTGCACGGGGCGGTTTAATTTGGCCACATCGCGACTGAATCTTGGCAGCGTTTAACAAACGGATGGGGGTGGTGGCAGTCGAGGGAAGTAACCGTGTTGGTGAGGACAGAAGTGGAAGGCCACTTCACGCTGTAACTCCAGCTCAGCATCACTCGTGCCGAAAGGCTGCATTTGTAGTGACAAGGTCTACAGGCATTAACACTTATCACAGGTCCCCCCCCCCGCTCCCGGTCGAGGGGACTGACGGCGAAGGCTTCCTCGTTGATGCTAACAAATGATAACTCTACTTGTGGACTTATTAACGTCTCCCCCGCACGTTTGTGTAACAATAAATCTTTTCTAGATTTGAAGCTTTCGTGACTGCAAGGATTCATACTCTTAGGTTTTTTTCGGTAAAGTCACGTAGGTAAAAAAATAAAATTTATTTTTTCGGTAAAGTCACGTAGGTAAAAAATAAAATAAATGTTTTTTTACCTACGTGACTTTACCGAAAAAAATCTAAGAGTAATAAATCTTTTCATTTTACAAATAACGATTTATTAACCGAGTGGTTGTACGCATACAATAGCTGATGGAGCGTTTATAATGAGAAAGAAAATATTTTGCCCTACAAATTCGTCGTTTGCGTTTGGAAATTCCAGGGAGCCTACTGTCCAAATACATTTCACAATCTGTATTTTGTCTGCGTGGAGTCTGAATGTGAAAATGAGGCCGTGGCTGATGGGATGTCTCTTTTGGTTGGGGAATAGACATAAGGAGGTGGTGTCTGTTGCTTTACCATGTTTTACAACCATTGTGGAGACATACAAAGTATTTGCACAATTTAGCGATGATTTATCGTGTAAATGGACCTCATTAATTTCCTTGAAAATCACTCGCAACATGCCAAGCGGAAGACTGCTACAGCAGAAAGCTTTCCAGGCAAATAAACCACAATCGAGACCGCTGCCAAACACGTTTCTCACTTAAAAAGGGGCAGATTTATTCCCACATTTCATCTCAACTTGAAAACAACGTGGTGCTCGCAACTTTCCACTCAAGCTCGTGAGTGAGATGCTTCAACGTAACGCACTCACTCCCACCACCTCCTCCCTGCCCTCACGCCAAGCGATCTCCGTCGTCTCCACCACTCCTCTTGGCCACTCATCTACAGCCGACTCTCGGTTATCCGCATTCATGACGGGGAGGACGCCCCGGGGATAATTCAACATCGCGAATAATCCAAAAAGTATCAATTTTCCGTGGATCTCTATGCCAAAAAACCCACTACTAAAGATAAAACATTATTTTGAAGTAAAGAAAATGTTATTCTTGGTTCTTTCGGTAAAGTCACGTAGAAGGAAATAATAAAATAATATAAATATAAAACAATAAAAATTCTCACGACGTTTCGACTGCAACACAAGCAATCGTCATCAGGTGTGAAATCCAGAGCAAGAAAAAAAAAAGTCTTGCTGATGATGATTGCTTGTGTTGCAGTCGAAACGTCGTGATAATTTTAATTATTTTATATTCATATTATTTTATTATTTCCCTTCTACGTGACTTTACCGAAAGAAACAAGAATATAAATCCCTGTAGTCGCGAAAGCTTTAAATCATTTTTTTAAAGTAAATAATCGACTGATCGACGCGCGTGCTCAGTGACGGAATTTTCCTGCTCCCGCACAGAAGACTCGGCCCACCGAGTGGACAGCAGCAGAGCCAACCAACATCAATCAAACTCCGCCCACTGTTGTAAAGAACTGCAACTACTGTACTTTAGAGGCGATCACGTGGCTTTCGGATTAACCAGAGCACATATATGTTCGGTTACAGCACCGTGTGACTTGTAATGAACATTTACAAGAATAACAATGTGTAACAGTGTTTAGATTATTAATTAGGGCTTAAGGGAAAATCCATGAGTCATTAATTTAAAAAAACCTCAGATGCGCGCGGTTAATCCTCAAATCGGATAAACCTTACGCGGATAACCGAGCCTACTTACCTCCCCCTGTGCCCCAAAAAAATAATCATCATGCGTCGTTGTGGAGCGTATACCGGGGAACAAGCAGACGGTACAACTCAGTTACACATCTGTCCCTTCACGGAAAAGGTTTTTCAGCACATCCCATCAGCCACACGGCCTTCTCGGAGGCATCGTCGAAAATAGATGGCACCGGCTGTGAAGGGGATCATGCCGATCTACCATCTCGCAATACATCCTCCGCATCCAAGCGGGAATCGATCTTTTAATCGGCAACGAGAGGCCGTTACATTCAGCACAATGTCAATTTAAAAAAAATCGAATCTTGAATCGTGACTCCGAATATCAATAATTAATTTCACGGGAAGGTGGGAGAATCGTTGCATTGTATAAAAATAAATCGTGGGTTTTCTTAAAAGTAAATGCTACGCTTGGGCTCGGGGAACATACGATAACATGCTACGTAGACGATACAAAAGATATGGTACAAATGAAACAAAAAAGTTATATTCTTTACTTGAATCAAGATACCAAACTGTGACAATGCCCATCAGTCCTGGCCATGGCGAATGGTGATAGGTCTGAACGTGTTGCCTGTGTTGCCCGCACAACGCCCTCAAACAGCTGCAGCAGTAGCAGCAGCAGCAGTCGCGTGCCGCGCTGGCGTCTCCCATTGCTCCGCTGCGATGCCTCTTCACTTAAACTTCCTACCTCTCCCACCCGAACCCTTGGCAGCCTTGGGCCTGCTGTTTCTCAACCTCTCGTTGCGTGCCTCCGGGGTCCTGAACCTCGCCCCTGCACCTCCCCTGTCCCGAGAAGAGCCCCTCCCTGGACTCCCACCACCACGACCACCACGACCACCATCACTGCCACGACCACGACCACCACGACTACCACGACCACCACGACCACCATCACTACCACGACCACTACCACGACCACCACGACCACCACCACCACGACCACCGCGACCACCAGCGGGCCGCTGCCCTCTGCCTCTCTCGCCCTGCATGCTGCCCCTACCCCTACGAGCGAGCCCTCGGTCGGCGCTGCCCCCGCGTCCACTCCCAAAGCTCCCACCCCTCTTCACGCCGCCGCCCGTCCCTCCCCTCCCCCCGGCGCGGCCCCTCGCGCTTCTGTCGTGACCGCGGTTGGGAGTTCTTTCGTGCGAAGTTTTTCGTCTCTTGGCTGGGAAGAGATCTGTGAGGAGCACGGAGGGATAGAGAGATAGAGAGAGAGAGGAACACTTTAGAAAACGCAGGGCGTGCATCGTGTGCCCACCACTGTGGACGTGCGTGTTGACCTGCGGTGGTCTCACACTCGTCATCAACCGTGTCCAGCTTTGAGGTTGTGTGTGAAAATGCCGTCTGATATTATTTGAACACATTCGCACATGTGGGAAGAAACACAAACTTCTCAGGCCAACAGCACGAGGGATTCACATTCAAACAGAGTGACAGTGCAGAACCAAAGCGTTGGCGTCTTAATCCTCAACAGGAAGAACGCCAATAGACCACACACAGTTAAACGCCGACTGTGAACGGCGTGGTCCAATAAAACCTGTCGCCGGGATGGCAGGGTCAGATTAAGGTTCTTGTAGGGCCTAGGCACTTGCGTTAAGTCGGCCTTCAGAGATAATTGTCAACAGTTGCTACTGCAGATGCCCCACGTCACGACCTACCACCGCTGTCACTCCGCTTGTTTCACGCGGTACTTTGTCCAGCGGCTGGACAGGATGTCATTACTGTTGACGCGTTCATTCTTTCGTCTGTGCCTCCCTCATTCGATGGAATGCGCGCTGAGTTCTGCAGTTAAGCAGATGTCATTTTACATTATCCCGCGAGTGCACCCGGCGCGCGTCCCACCACCCCCCCCCCCCCCACCCACCTGCGTCGGGTTCCTCCCCGACCGCTTGCCGGTAGAACTCTGCCTCGTCGTCCTCCTCCTCCACGCCGCCGCCGCCGCCGCCGCCCGTCTTCCCGGACGAGCACGGGTCCTCGGCGTCGCTGTCCGCCTCCTGCACCTGGGACAGCTTGCGCTTCATGCCGGCCAGGCTGCGCAACCTGCAGCAGCGGTGGCGGCAGCGGTAGTGGCAGCAGCAGCAGCAGTGATGACAGCAGCGGTAGCAGCGGTAGTGGCGGCAGCAGCAGCAGTGGCAGCAGCAGCGGCGGCAGCGGCGGTGGCGGCACCATCGTTAGCATTTTCGATGTTACAAGCAGAGTGATTTCCTCTCCGGGCAACATTAACAGTGATTCCTTGCTCAAAATGGCACTGGGTGGATGGTGTGTGGTAGACATGGTGTGTGTACAGCGGTGTGTGGTGCATGGTGTGTGGTGCATGGTGTGTGTACAGGGTGAGTGTACAGGAATGTGTGGCAGACATGGCGTGTATACAGGATGTGTATACAGGGTGTGTGGTGCATGTTGTATATACAGCGGTGTGTGGTGCATGGTGTGTGTACAAGAGTGTGTGGTGCATTGTGTGTATACAGGAGTGTGTAGTAGACATGGTGTGTGTACAGGGGTGTGTGCTGTGTTTCGCTGTGCTGGAGGAGTATGGTTCTGTGCTCGCTCACCGGTTTCTCTCCCGCTCGTCCACCTTGCGCATCACGTCGTCCTCCTGCCGGCGCCGTCGCTCGTCCTTCAGCAGGAGCTTCGCCTCGCGTCGACGCAGCATCTTCGCGAGCTCATCCTCCGACTTGTGCTCTGCACAAAGACAAATACGCGCATGCGCGCACGGGCACACAGATCGTTATCCAGGACCGTGGCTTGGAAGTTCCCGCTTTAGACAAATTCGGGTTCAAGGGTTCATATTGGGAGCTCGACAGAGCGAGGAACGAGCGGACACGTCGCCTATTTGTTCTTGCTCTCCCAAGCTTGTCGTGATGCACAGCAAGACCCCCGGACGAAAACACGGGGCCAGCACGGAAACACGGCGCTCCCTCGGACGCGGAGGCACGGGGGCCCGAGTAGCGGCGAGTCGCGTCGCCAATCCGTGGGATGTCGGCACGGCGCGATGGCGTCGCGCTTACCAAACTCGTGGAACAGAACCTTCCCCTCGCACAGGCCCTCCTCGATCTTGATCAGCTGCAGAGTCATTCGGGGACCGATCTGTAGGCAGGAACAGAAAACACAGATCCCCCGTGTAGCCTTAACACACTGTTGAGGAAAGTGCTGTTTGTGAGCAGCAGCTATGAGGTGTTGGTCTGAACCAGGACCGGTTCACATAATTGCCGCTGGTGTTGGCCGTGAGCGAGAATTGAACTCTGGTGGCCGGGTTCATAGCGCGGCTTGCTAACCGCGACGCTACCGCTCCCCAACTGGGCAGGCAAAAGACAAAGACAAAGATCCCCTGTATAGCCTTAACAGACTGTAGGGGCAAGTGCTGTTAGCGAGCACCTATGAAGGCCGGGACGGCACACAAGGGGGTGGGTGGCCAGCACCACGCCCGACCGCCTTTGTCTCCCTAGTAGCAATGTTTACACACCGCACAAGGTACTAATTTGAGGCTGAGTCGACCTAGGGGAGGCCCGGGACCGGTCCAGATAATTGTCACTGATGTTGGCAGTGAGCGGGAATCGAACCCGTGTCGCCGGGTTCATAGCGCGGCTTGCTAACCGCGACGCTACCGCTCCCCAACTGGACAGGCACGCACACACACACACGGTCACAACGACAAAAACCGCCATTCACCACTAAGTGGCGATGACGTCACCACGGCGCTTGTGCCATGCTAGGTGCACGTTGAGGCCACGTGAAGAGTCGAAAGCCCGCCGGTAAAGCGTGGATTAGGCTCCATCAGCACGTACACAGACACGCACGCACACAGCGCCACACTCTCAACACAGAAGCAAGTCGATAACAACGCACGTAGCGCGTTAGCACCACCAGTAGGCGGGGACGCAAATAAAAAGTTTGTTTGAGCGTGATGAGCGGCAAGAACGATTCCACCGACGTCGTCGCCAACGACGGCAACCAAAGCGAACTAACCCCCAACACACACAGAGTGACCCCCAACACACACAGAGTAATCCCCGGTACACGGAGCGTGGCTGTCGAAGAGACTCACAAGGAATCACTCCCAGCCCCGAGTGGTTTCCTTGTTTAGAGGGAATGCCGCCAGGCAGCGCGGAGTCAGGAGTGACGTCGCAGCACTGGAGCGGAGTTATTCTACGGTCCTGTCGAGGCCGCACGGGGAATCTTTGAAACTAAACTATTTTTATTTTACCAGGTAAGGGCCCACTGAGCTATTAAGCTCTTTTTCAGAAGCGACCTGGCCACAGGTGATAGACCAACCAAGTGTCTTATAGCGAGGACATTGATAGCAGGCAATTACTCTAAAGGCATGATTCTAAATGTGGAGGGGAAAAACCGGGGTTCCCGGAGAAAATTCCACGCGACCACGGGGAGAGAGACGCACGCAAACTCCACATGTACAGCAGACGTCAGGGTCCGGATCGAACCCACGACCTCCTGTGCACCAGGCGAGGTAGTTAACATCTCGCCACCGTGAATGCGCGTGTAGTTGTGTTGGAGCGTGCGCCGACGCGGCCGCATCCATCCCCACCTCTGTGAGCCGCACGGCACTCTGCTGGGCAGCCATGTTGCCGCGGCCCGACAGAGACTGGGGCAGCTCGGTGATGTTGTGGTCTCCATCCACCTCCGCCTCACTCTCAGAGAGGTTGCCTCCCCTGCATGCGCGCGCGCGCACACACACACAGAGATCCCCTGTGTAGCCTTAACAGACTGCTGGGGCAAGTGCTGTTAGCGAGCGCCTACGAAGGCCGGCACGACACGCGAGGGGGTGGGTGGCCAGCACCGCCACGCCCGGCCGCCTTTGTCACCCCAGTGCTGATCTTAACACACCACACCAGATACTCATTTAAGGCTGAGTCGACTTCTGGAAGGCCCAGGACAGGTTCAAATGTTCGCCACTGTTTTAGCTCGTGAGTGGGAATTGAATTCGGGTTGCCGTCGGGGAGTGCGCCAGAGGTCGCAAACGGGTACCCGATACCCATACCCTATCCGATACCCGGCTACCCGTACCCGGCCGGGTACGTACCCGTACCCGGCCGGGTACGGGTACGTGTACCCGTTTGCGACCCTGGTGCGGCCGGGTACGGGTATGGGTAGGCCGTGAGTCACTGGTGAGTAACCGTTTGTCACTCATTTCCCAACGTCTTGTCTCTTCTCACAATTCAAGTTTCTAGAATCAACTCACCCGCGCCAGCAACATGGCTTCATCCCAGAGGTCGCAATCAGGTACCTGATACCCGTACCCGGGTACGGCCGGGTACAGGTACCCGTTTGCGACCCTGGTGCGGCCGGGTACGGGTAAGGAATCAAAACCCGTTTGCGACCTCTGGAGTGCGCTCACCATTACGCCACGACTCCCCACACACACACACAACTCACACACGCGCAAGCAAGCTCACCCCACAGGCACAGACCTCGAGGTGTGCGCTACTGCCAAGCCGGAGGCAATCGCAACGAGCACGAACCTTAACAAAAGGTCGCTGATGTCTGAAAACCGCGACATGTTGGGGAATCGCTCCTGCAGCAGCTTCTTCACTCCCTTGCTCATGCCGACAGGGACCACCCTCAAGTTACTGCGCACACACACACACACACAAAGGCAAAGATCCCCCGTATAGCTTTAACAGACTGTTGGGGCAAGTGCTGTTAGCGAGCAGCACCTCTGAAGGCCGGCACGATCCACGAGGGGGTGGGTAGCCGGCACCACGCCCGGCCGCCTTTTTCTCCCTAGTGGCGATGTTTACACACCGCACCAGGTACACATTTGAGACCGAGTCGACTTAGAGGAGGCACAGGACCGGTTAAGACATTCGTCACTGGTGTTGGCTGCGAGCGGGAATCGAACTGTCTGTGGCCGACACTTGCGAGGGATTTGGCAAGAACGGCATAAGCCCCGTGGTGAGCCAGCGCTATTCCGATTCCGCGTCTGTCACCTTTAATGTACTTTAATTAGCAATTTAGTGCAGTTTTTTTGTTATTTATTTATTTATTACTTGCACCTTCCAGCGCACCAATGCACGCATCTGCGCATGCGCGCCCCCTAGCGACGCGCATACGTGTTAAAAATGCAACAACAAAACACACGACTGAGGTACATTCTTCAAAGTGTGTTTTCCTCTTGTCCCTCCCCCACCCCAATGTGTGCAATTACTACTACAGGGTCGGTAGACACTAATATTATAGAGCTTACGTACTATTACTGTAGAGCGAGCCAAGGTGCCAATCTAGGCGAGGCCGGGGGCTCTGCACGGGGCTAGGCCTCACCACTACACTCTGTGAAGTGAGTACTATTATAGAGTCAATATATACTATTATAGAGTCGGTATATACGACTATAGAGTGGGTAGATACTACTGTACAGTTTTTAGGTACTGCTACTGTAAAGCGGGCTGTGGGGGGGGGGTACAGCAGCCCAGCGTTGTGTGTGTGTCTGTGTGTGTGTGTCTGTGTGTGGGTGTCTGTGTGTGGGTGTCTGTGTGTGGGTGTCTGTGTGTGGGTGTCTGTGTGTGGGTGTCTGTGTGTGTGTCTGTGTGTGTGTGTCTGTGTGTGGGTGTCTGTGTGTGGGTGTCTGTGTGTGGGTGTCTGTGTGTGGGTGTGTACACATCCGTGTGTCTGTGATGGGGAGCGTTAGTGTAACGGTCAGCGCTACGCTGCGCTACGAACCCGAGGACATGAGTTCGATTCCCGCTCGCGGCCAAAACCAGTGACGATTATCTGAATCGGTCCTGGGCCTCCCCTAGGACGACTCAGCCTCAATTGAGTGCCTGGTGCGTTGTGTAACCATTGCTACAAGGGAGACAAAGACGGCCGGGCGTGGTGCTCGTGTGCAAGTATTCATGTTGAATTTCTTTCGCACCTTATGTAGCCAACCGTGCTAATTGGAGGAGCCTTCATAGGTGCTTGCGAATAGCACTTGCCCCAACAGTCTGTTAAGGCCAGAGGTGGGACAAAGTCATTGTTATGCAAGTCCAAGTCGAGTCTGAAGTCATCAAATTCATGACTCGAGTCTGACTCGAGTCCAAGTCACATGACTCGAGTCCACACCTCTGGTTAAGGCTATACAGGGGATCTTAGTCTTTGTTGCGTGTGCGTGCGCGCGTGCGTGCAGGAGTCTCTTACTAGTGACGGAAGTCCATGAGCTTGGTGTCAGGGTCGTAGTGAAACAGGACGCAGCGCTTGATCGTGTTCAGCCGGACCTGCCAAAGCACCGAGAATGAGTGACCACTCGGCACGAGCGACTGGACCCCACGGGATCTGCTCATCCTCGTGAGCAGCAGCACGGAACGGCGTGCCACGACTCCCATCATCTCGCAGCACAGAATCCCAGTCTCTCTGCTCATCCACAAGGACGAGAAGGCGGCCAGAACCGGCGCTAACCACGGCCGGAGCTCTGTGGTCCGACATTGCGAGATTTTGGTCGACTCCACGAACGACCGTCTGCACGTGCGTGCCAACACTGGGGGAACCCCTCGGAGGAAACCCCACGCGTACCAAAAGAGGCCCACACTCAATCCCCAAATAGAAGGAACGCAGACGGAGCCCCACTTGCTGCACCGCAATTCCCTGGCAAGCCAGGAAGTGGTGGCCTCACAGTGTGTGTGTGTGCATTTATGTGTGTGTTTGTATTTATGTATGTGTGTGTGTATTTATGTGTGTGTGTATTTATATGTGTGTGTATTTATATGTGTGTGTGTATTTATGTATGTGTGTATTTATGTATGTGTGTGTATTTGTTTATGTGTGTGTGTATTTATGTGTGTGTGTATTTATGTATGTGTGTGTATTTATTTATGTGTGTATTTATATGTGTGTGTATTTATGTGTGTGTGTATTTATGTGTGTGTGTATTTATGTATGTGTGTGTATTTATTTATGTGTGTGTATTTATATGTGTGTGTATTTATGTGTGTGTGTATTTATGTGTGTGTGTATTTATGTGTGTGTGTATTTATTTATGTGTGTGTGTGTATTTATATGTGTGTGTATTTATGTGCGTGTGTATTTATGTGTATGTTTGTATTTATGTGTGTGTATTTATGTGCGTGTGTATTTATGTGCGTGTGTATTTATGTGTATGTTTGTATTTATGTGTGTGTATTTATATGCGTGTGTATTTATGTGCGTGTGTATTTATGTGCGTGTGTATTTATGTGTGTGTGTATTTATGTGTGTGTGTATTTATGTGTGTGTGTATTTATGTGTGTGTGTATTTATGTGTGTGTGTATTTATGTGTGTGTGTATTTATGTGTGTGTATTTATATGTGTGTGTATTTATGTGTGTGTGTATTTATGTGTGTGTGTATTTATGTGTGTGTGTATTTATGTGTGTGTGTATTTATGTGTGTGTGTATTTATGTGTGTGTATTTATATGTGTGTGTATTTATGTGCGTGTGTATTTGTGTGTGTGTGTGTGTATCTATGTGTGTGTATGTTTTTATTTATGTGTGTGTATGTTAACTTTCTTCCACAGCCAGCCATGCTAATCGGAGGTGCGGGGGAAGGACAACACGCTTTAACAAAAAAGCACGAGTGTTTAATTTAGATTTTTTAAATGCATCGCTCCGGTGACTTTCTAATATCAGAAGGAAGAGACCCAGACACCCATGGAGATCAAGAGACTCGTATAGAGGCATAGAGACCTATAGAGACCCATACTCTTATGTGTGTATGTTGAGTTTCTTTCGCACTGTACGTGGACAACCACGCTAATCAGAGGTGCAGAGAAAAACAAAAGACTAATCCATTTTTATTTTACCAGGTAAGGCCCACTGACCTGGCCACGAAGTGGTTTATCAAGTGGAAATTGATAACAGCCAAATATACTAATAGGGTTTTTCCCCTTTTTTCTGGCAACAAAACTGACACCTTTTGCAAGGAATCATGCTTACATTAACCACTGCAGGTATTGTGGTTAATGTAAGCATGATTCCTTGCAAAAGGTGTCAGTTTTGTTGCCAGAAAAAAAGGGGAAAAACCCTATTAGTATATTTTGGTACTGGCAAAGGAGATCCCATGAAACAGCCAAATATTTTAAACGCACGTTGCTAAATGTGGAGGGAAAAACCGAAGGACCCGGAAAAAAATCCACATGGCCACAGAGAGAGAGACGTGCAAACTCCACATATACAGCAGACATCGAGGTCCGGATCGAACCCACGACCTCCTGCATACCAGGCGAGGTAGTTAACATCTCGCCACCGCGGCACCAGCGCGTGGCGGCGGCTGACGCACCTTGTGCACGTTGATGCTGGGGAACATGTTCTGCAGCATGGCGCCGGTGAGCTTGAGGTGCGTGTGCTCGCGCGACAGGTTGTTGCACACGAGCAGCGGCGGCGTCGTGAACTGCTCCTCGTGCATGCGGTGCCTCTTGATGGACGACACCACGTCCCTGTGCAGGCAGTACTGCACACGCGAGCGTCGCACGACACACACACCACCACACACACACACCGCCACACACACCGCCACACACACACACACACCGCCACACACACACACACCGCCACACACACACACCGCCACACACACCGCCACACACACACACCGCCACACACACACACCGCCACACACACACACCGCCACACACACACACACACACACCGCCACACACACACACCGCCACACACACACACAGCCACACACACACACCGCCACACACACACACAGCCACACACACCGCCACACACACACACCGCCACACACACACACCGCCACACACACACACACACCGTTACTACCGCTAAGACGTCGGGTATCTTCGCGACAAGCATCTCTGTAGGACGCCGCGATGGGGGAGGGGTCGAGACAGCAGAGGTCGCAACCGGGTACCCGATACCCGTACCCTACCCGATACCCGGGTACGGGTAGCCGTTTGCGACCCTGGTGCGGCCGGGTACGGGTACGGGTAGGCCGTGAGTCACTGGTGAGTAACCGTTTGTCACTCATTTCGGGTAGGGTACGGGTACGGGTAGGGAACGGGTATCCGTACCCGGCCGGGTACGGGTACCCATTTGCAACCGGGTACGGGTAAGGAATCAAAACCCGTTTGCGACCTCTGCGAGACGGACACCACATTCACCACATTCACCACATTCACCGCATTCACCGTAGCCGACACGACGCTGGGCGCTCGCTGCACACGGAGAACCGTGATGCGGCCTGCTCGGTGGCGATTGGTCGGAAGGTTTTTGAATGCGGGAGAAGGCGGGGAGATTTGAACGAGGCAAGGGGTCCTGTGGAGGCGGTTAGAAGGGAAGCAGAGGGATTGGTTAGAAGGAAGGGGATGGGGCGGAGACGTGAGAGGGGGGAAAAGGATAAAAGGGGAGTGGCGCTCGGGGTGAGGGAAGGCACGGGACCGCTGGTGGCTGGTGGTGGGCACTGGGCGTGGTTGCTGAGGGCAACGAAAATCGATCGGCGTGTGGAGGGGGTTCACAGACAGAAACATAAATAATGGCCACTGCAATCCTCGTGTGGTGACCAAGTCCTTGTGGGGGCAGTGGACAGCACGGCTGGGTTCACATGCCCTGGTTGTGTGTCACTGTGTGTGTTTGTTACGCGTGCGTCAACAGACACCCTGGGAAACGAAACGTTCCAGCAAGAGATATTCTAGGTGAAATATTTCAATAAACTTTACATATGTTTTCGAATGTGCGTAGGTTACGTTCAAATGTTTACACTGTGTGAGGAAATTGTACTTTTCGGGATAAACGCAACATTGCCTTCAAATGAGTGAATACTGTACGAGTGTTAACGATGACTCACGGGGGCATACAGAGAGCCAAGCAATTGAACCACAATGTTCATCTCAACTACGTCGGAAACAGCCCGGTCACAGACACGGACACAGACGAAAGCGACTGACCGAGGAGACACCGGTGGCAAGGTGCGGTCATCCCGTCACCACGGACGAGACGTGGCCTCTGGGCAGCGCATTCACCGCATGCTGCACAGGTTCATGGTTCGATTCCAAGTGGCCGCCCTGGCTGGTGGTGCGGATATTTCTCCGGGTCCTCCGGTTTTTCCCTCCACATTTAGAATCAACACTACACGTTTAGAACATTTGACTGCTGCTATAACTCTCCACGTGACGAGAAACCACTTTGTCGAGCTATCATTTGTGGCCGGGTCGCCTCTGAAAAAGAGCTACATAGCTCAGTGGGCTTTAACTGGTAAAATCAAAATGTGTTGGTTTTAGTACTGCTACAGGTGTAGCCACCTGGCAATGTTGCACGACGTAGGATTACATTTTTGCTTGACCCTGTTGTGGGTGTTGCACATTTTTTGATATCAATTATCATTTTGCGGTAAAATATAAAACGACTACTCACCTCATTCACTTTGAACGTTATTGTCGGTCCGTTGGGAATGCGCGCGAGTTTCTGTGGGATAGAAAAGAACCACGCACTCTATGCATCCTGGTCGTCGCTCACTTAATCAGAATGCGAAACACACGAAGGGTAACCGTCAACACGTGGCGAGAAGGTGGACCGTGCAACGGGCACACAAAGACGTCTAGTTGTGAGATTAATCTCCCCGGCACGTGAACATCCACCTTGCAGCAACGCTGCATGAGTGTGGCCAGCAACTGGCGGCTTGGCCACGGAGCGTGGCCTGGGTGGGGGGTAGCGCCGAGGCCTGGTCTATCACAGCCACAGCCGTGTTTACAGGCACCCACATCGGCTTCACTGACATTCTAAAGCAGGGGTCCTCAAACTACGGCCCGCGGGCCACATGCGGCCCGCCGAGGACATTTATCCGGCCCATGGTCACTAATTGGGCTGCGCTTGTGAGCACTAATTGGGTTGCGCTGGTGGGCACTGATTGGGCTGCGGTGGCGAGCACTGGCCCCCTGTTTAAAAAGTTTGAGGACCCCTGTTCTAAAGGATGACTTGCACCGCACCGCGCCACACGCCGAGACACCCATGGCATTGTGCCAGCGGGAACGCAATCGCAGCCACACAAACACTCCAATGAGAGACTTTAGCCATCGCCTTCTCTGAAGGCTGCTCGTAGTCTGCCACAACGTTGCGATGTTTTCCTCCCAGCAACAACACGTGTTATTATATTCTCTTAAGTTTGTTTTTTCTTCGCCGTCAGCTGGTTGAAGCGAGGTACCCACCATCTGAGACCGTGCTGACGTCTGGCTGTGAACTCGTAGATTTGGAATTTCCATCAATTAATACTTGGCAAATGTAAAATATGTACATTTTAGATGACCACAGGATGATAAAAATGTTTAATGTCACGTGACATGGGTTTGGGTAGTGACAGGGGTTGGGGTAGTGATAGGGGTTGGGGTAGTGATAGGGGTTGGGGTAGTGACAGGGGTTGGGGTAGTGATAGGGGTTGGGGTAGTGATAGGGGTTGGGGTAGTGATAGGGGTTGGGGTAGTGATAGGGGTTGGGGTAGTGATAGGGGTTTGGGTAGTGACAGGGGTTGGGGTAGTGATAGGGGTTGGGGTAGTGACAGGGGTTGGGGTAGTGACAGGGGTTGGGGTAGTGATAGGGGTTGGGGTAGTGATAGGGGTTGGGGTAGTGATAGGGGTTGGGGTAGTGATAGGGGTTGGGGTAGTGATAGGGGTTGGGGTAGTGATAGGGGTTGGGGTAGTGATAGGGGTTTGGGTAGTGATAGGGGTTGGGGTAGTGACAGGGGTTGGGGTAGTGATAGGGGTTTGGGTAGTGATAGGGGTTGGGGTAGTGACAGGGGTTGGGGTAGTGATAGGGGTTGGGGTAGTGACAGGGGTTGGGGTAGTGATAGGGGTTGGGGTAGTGATAGGGGTTGGGGTAGTGATAGGGGTTTGGGTAGTGATAGGGGTTGGGGTAGTGACAGGGGTTGGGGTAGTGATAGGGGTTTGGGTAGTGATAGGGGTTGGGGTAGTGACAGGGGTTGGGGTAGTGATAGGGGTTGGGGTAGTGACAGGGGTTGGGGTAGTGATAGGGGTTGGGGTAGTGATAGGGGTTGGGGTAGTGACAGGGTTGGGGTAGTGATAGGGGTTGGGGTAGTGATAGGGGTTTGGGTAGTGATAGGGGTTGGGGTAGTGACAGGGGTTGGGGTAGTGATAGGGGTTGGGGTAGTGATAGTGGTAGGGGTAGTGATAGGGGTTGGGGTAGTGATAGGGGTTGGGGTAGTGATAGGGGTTTGGGTAGTGATAGGGGTTGGGGTAGTGACAGGGGTTGGGGTAGTGATAGGGGTTGGGGTAGTGATAGGGGTTGGGTAGTGATAGGGGTTTGGGTAGTGATAGGGGTTGGGGTAGTGACAGGGTTGGGGTAGTGATAGGGGTTGGGGTAGTGATAGGGGTTGGGGTAGTGATAGGGGTTTGGGTAGTGATAGGGGTTGGGGTAGTGATAGGGGTTGGGGTAGTGATAGGGGTTGGGGTAGTGATAGGGGTTGGGGTAGTGATAGGGGTTTGGGTAGTGATAGGGGTTGGGGTAGTGATAGGGGTTGGGGTAGTGATAGGGGTTGGGGTAGTGACAGGGGTTGGGGTAGTGACAGGGGTTGGGGTAGTGATAGGGGTTTGGGTAGTGATAGGGGTTGGGGTAGTGACAGGGGTTGGGGTAGTGATAGGGGTTGGGGTAGTGATAGGGGTATGAGTAGTGATAGGGGTTGGGGTAGTGATAGTGGTATGGGTAGTGACAGGGGTTGGGGTAGTGATAGTGGTATGGGTAGTGACAGGGGTTGGGGTAGTGATAGTGGTATGGGTAGTGACAGGGGTTGGGGTAGTGATAGTGGTATGGGTAGTGATAGGGGTTGGGGTAGTGATAGTGGTATGGGTAGTGACAGGGGTTGGGGTAGTGATAGTGGTATGGGTAGTGACAGGGGTTGGGGTAGTGATAGTGGTATGGGTAGTGACAGGGGTTGGGGTAGTGATAGTGGTATGGGTAGTGATAGGGGTTTGGGTAGTGATAGGGGTTGGAGTAGTGATAGGGGTTGGGGTAGTGATAGTGGTAGGGGTAGTGATAGGGGGTTGGGGTAGTGATAGGGGTTGGGGTAGTGATAGGGGTTGGGGTAGTAATAGGGGAAGTAATAGGGGTTGGGGTAGGGGTAGTGATAGTGGTATGGGTAGTGACAGGGGTTGGGGTAGTGACAGGGGTAGTAATAGGGTAGTAGCAGTAGCATGATGGGCAAGCGAGAAGAGATGGGAGGTTGTTTTACGGGAGGAGCGGAAGCAGCAGGTTGTGATAGTGAAGACGACTGCTCTGTGTGTTGCAGTGGGAGTTTGTCCCAGTGAAGGGCAAAGAGTAGGGAGAAGGAATGAAAGCGTGACGGGGTGCAGGGCGAAGGAGGCACAGCAGAGACTGGGAGCGTAAAATACGGGATGAGACAGAGTAGTGAGATACGAGAGAAGCAAGATACGGTGGGACAAGACAATGGAGGGATTTGTAGACAAGAGTGAGACAATTAAATGGACAGAGATAGTGGACAGCGAGCCAGTGGAGTTGGGAAAGTAGAGCAGCAGTGTGTGGGGGGGGGGGACGTTTTAAATCCGGCAGAGCAATGTCGTGTCGGTGGAGAGAATGAGAGGAGGGGAGGGATGTTATGATTACTGAACAGGTGAGAGCAGAGAGTCTGGGTAGTGTCAGAGGGGGTAGTTGAAGATGGCACCGAGGTTGTGAGCAGAGGAGTCCAGAGGAGTGAGGGAGAAGGGATGGGGGAGAGAGATGGTAGGGCAGGGTGAATTCGTGTTTTCATGATATCTTCTTGAAAGGAATTCATATTTGAGAATTTACCAACATAGGGCAATAGTGAACACACCGGTTGAACGCCCCTTTCCAGAACAGAAACAGCACGGGAGCAGTAAGTCATCCACTCACCAGGTTGATGCCGTCCAAAGTTTTGGAGAAAATCATGAAATGCGTGATGCCCAAGGGGCCGGATACGGTCACAAAATCTTTGAGGACGTTCTTGCGGCCAACCTGCACACTCAGAGGGATAGAGAACCGCACGAGGCCACGCAGTTCCATAAGCGATGATCTGCCATGCGTTGATCTGCCATGCACAATCATCATCGGGCTTTGAGCTGCAGAAGAGATTTGATTTTACACCATTGGAACCTCATTTGCCAGTAAAAATATGATAATTGTTTTTTTACCCTTCTATCTGAAAACAAAACTGACACCTTTTTACAAGGAGTCATGTTTGCATAGACCACAATACCTGCAGCCATAATGCAAACAAAAATATAACTCTGATGTGCACTGTCCTTGACTTCACATTATCATAGTTATGTTTTTTGTTTGCATTATGACTGGAGGTATTGTGGTCTATGCAAACATGACTCCTTGTAAAAAGGTGTCAGTTTTGTTGCCAGATAGAAGGGTAAAAAAACAATTATCAGATTTGATTTTGTGATTATGAACCTTACTAGCAAAGCCTACCCAGGCCTCAGTGATTCATGAAGAGTGTCCTACCAAGTGTTCTCAGTCGAGTGTGACGTTAGTACGTGTAATCACAATTAAGTAAATTACAGATACTGTAATTGTTGATGATTGTTTTAGAGTGTGTGTCGAGAGTGGGTGCAGAGAGTGTGTAAGAAAGTGTGTGTGTAGAGTGCGTGTAGAGAGTGTGTGTGTGTGTACAGAGAGTGTGTTCATAGTATGTGTGTTTGTGTAGAAAGTATGTGAAGTGTGTGTGGAGCAAGTGTGTGTGTGCAGCAAGTGTATGTGGCGAGTATGTGTGAAGTGTGTGTGTGCAGCGAGTGTGTGTAGAGTGTATGTAGAAAGTGTGTGTGTAGAGTGTGTGTGTACAGAGTGTTCAGAGTATGTGTGTTTGTGTAGAGTGTGTGTAGAGTGTGTGCAGCAAGTGTGTGAAGTGTGTGTGTGCAGCAAGTGTGTGTGTGTGGCGAGTGTGTGTAGAGTTGTGTAGAGAGTGTGTGTAGAGTGTGTGTAGAGAGTGTGTGTGTGTACAAAGAGTGTGTTCAGAGTATGTGTGTAGCGAGTGTGTGTGTAGCAAGTGTGTGTGTAGCGAGTGTGTGTGTAGCGAGTGTGGTGTGTAGCGAGTGTGTGTGTAGCGAGTGTGCGTGTAGCGAGTGTGTGTGTAGCGAGTGTGTGTGTAGCGAGTGTGTGTGTAGCGAGTGTGCGTGTAGCGAGTGTGCGTGTAGCGAGTGTGCGTGTAGCGAGTGTGCGTGTAGCGAGTGTGCGTGTAGCGAGTGTGTGTGTAGCGAGTGTGTGTGTAGCGAGTGTGTGTGCAGCGAGAGTGTGTGTAGCGAGTGTGTGTGTAGCGAGTGTGTGTGTAGCGAGTGTGTGTGTGTGTAGCAGCGAGTGTGTGTGTAGCGAGTGTGTGTAGCGAGTTGTGGCGGCCGTGCTGCGTGCGAACCTTGAGGCTGCTGGCGGTGTAGGGCTGCATTACGCGCCGCGTGTCGGTCACGAGCTGCGTGAGCGTGCGCGACGGGGTACCGCGCGAGAACACCAGGGTGTGCGGGACCCCCGAGAAGGCGTCCTGCGCCGCCTGCTCCGCCAGCGACGCCGCCTTGCGCTGGTTGCGTGTCTGCAGCCCCAGAGAAACGACAGCCCCCCCCACGTGATCGCTCGCACGCGGACAACTGCAATTGCGCCGCACGTCCGGGGTCACCGGGTTAAATGAACACCGCTTTGGTGACCACTGTGGAACCTCGTCGAGCATCACCCCCCCGCCCCCCATCAGAGGTCGCAAACGGGTTTTGATTCCTTACCCGTACCCGGCCGGGTATCGGGTAGGGTACGGGTATCGGGTACCTGATTGCGGCCTCTGGGATGAAGCCATGTTGCAGGCACGGGTGGGTTGATTCTAGGAACTTGAATTGTGAGAAGAGACAAGACGTTGGGAAATGAGTGACAAACAGTTACTCACCAGTGACTCACGGCCTACCCGTACCCGTACCCAGCCGCACCAGGGTCGCAAACGGGTACCCGTACCCGGCCGGATACGGGTAGCCGGGTATCGGGTAGGGTACGGGTATCGGGTACCCGGTTGCGACCTCTGCCCCCCCATCCACTGCTCCACACGACTTTGATCTGTCAGGAAAACTGTGGCGGCTCCGTCGAGCCGCGAGAGACCAGCGACGGCTCGCCGTGCACACGTGGGGTCATTACAGCCGACCCCGCAGTGTGACTGCGGCCACCTGAACCAAGCCACACGCCGTAGCATATCACCAACGGCTGGATTTCGATGCCCGCTCTCCGGCGGACTGGACAGAGTTAGTCGCGCTACTGCATGGCTCACAGACTTAAACCTGGATGTATAATTCAAGCGTAAGGTACTTGCACTACCGTGAAAAAAAACTGGGATTAACCTCGTACCAAATAGGCAACTTCAATTGTCTCGTGCGGCTGGGGTCGCACTTGCAGTCGAGGCGACGTGCCACGTGTCTCAATGGGTTTATTTTGTCTCCTGGTTGAACGATATCGACACGGCGGCTCTCAGCTGACCTTCAATATTGCACAGCCACGTCCACCCCTGTGCAATGCAGTGGCCACATCTCCACAAACCCATCGGCCCGCACCTGATAAATGAAATGTTTCCCCCCCTATTCATCCTCAAACGAATGCAAAGGATAAAACTCTATGCAGGTGATTCTGTCTTTGACCCTAAAACATCAATTCGAGCAAAGAGCCGAGCCAAAAACAAACACGTGCACCCAAATCACCAAGCCCTGGCTCGACTGCTACAACCATTGCCCCTTTCCAAAGTTGTATGTAAGATGTGTGTATGTTGAACTTCTTTAGCACCGTACGTAGCCAACCGTGCTAATCGGAGGTGCGGAGTGCCGATACTAATCACGCGGCCGTTCCAACCATTATCAAGCCTAACACTGGTACCAAAGTGTTCCGCTTTGCTGGAACACACATTCCTGCGGAGGGAGCTGGTAGGAACGTTGGGTTGCTCGGTCAATGGCCTGCAGGGTCAACGGCGGCGTGGTGTATTCCGCAAATATGCCCGACTGTGAGGGCGGGCACAAGCCGGCGTGAGTAGGTTAAACGTTGAGTTTTATAAGGGCACCACGGGGTGACCAGCCCCTCCCCACCCAGCCCCTCCCTCCCCACCCAGCCCTTGCCTGCACGACGGACGGACACAATAATCCCCTGTGGGCTGGTGGAACCAGTGGGTTCCTACCAGTAAAACAAACACGTGCCCAGTCGTTAGACCGGTATGTGTTGGACAGTACGCGCACAGCATACCCACAATTCGAGTTACGACGTTTCGCAAAGCGATTACGACCAGCATCATCAGGCGACACTCAGAATGTAACGCTGCGCAAAGAAGCATAAACACAAAGAAAACCTCCCCCAAACCCTGTGATCACTTCAGAGAGAGAGAAGAGAGACGCCGAGAGGGACGCGTGGCTTTGAGAAGGGACCGGCGAGTTGCTTCTGCTGCTTGCTGCATTCTGTGGAGAGAGGCCTCAAGACACGACACGTGGCTGGAAAAGGAAGCCGGCATCTGTGTACCAGTGCGTTCATCTCGCTGCGCGTGTCTCTACATATATATGTCTTTGTATGCACGTCGGCGTGTGTCTGCGTGCTTCTGTATTTCTCTGTGCATGTGTGTACCTTTAACGCTGCACTACGAACCTGGCGACCCGGGTTCGATTCCCGCTCACGGCAAACACCAGTGACGATTATCTGAACCGGTCCTGGGCCTCCTCTAGGTCGACTCAGCCTCAAATGAGTACTTGGTGCGGTGTGTAAACATCGCCACTGGGGAGACAAAGGCGGTCGGGCGTGGTGCTGGCCACCCACCCCCTCGTGTACCGTTCCGGCCTTCATAGGTGCTCGCTAACAGCACTTGCCCCTACAGTCTGTTAAGGCTATACGGGGGATCTTTGTATCACTGTACGCACACGTGTGTATCTGTCCCGGGGCAACACGTGTATCTAAGCGAGTACGTCTACGTCTCTCGATCTCTTGTATTTCAGCACGTGTCTGTATACAGCTGTCTGTATATCTCGCTGCGTCTCTGTGTATCTCACTTTATACTGTATGTGCCAGTGAATCTACCTTTGTATCTTTCTCTGTGAATCTCTCCGAGTAAATCTGTATAGTCTAGTGTATAACTCTGTATGTATCTCACGTTCTCCCTGTATCTCTCTCTGTACTGTTTCTATGTAAATCTATGTCTATCTATCTCTGGTATCTATCTGTGTCTCTCACCTCTGTGTATCTCTCTGTATATATCTCTGTCTCTCATTTTCTTTGTATCTCTGTGTATCTAGCTATCTCTCTCTCTCACCTATCTCTGTGTATCTAGCTCTCTCACCTTTTCTGTCTCTCTGTATTTACCTCTGTATCTCTACCTCTCTATATCTCTGTCTCTCTATATCTGTGTCTCTGTCTGTCTATCTCTCTCCGTCTCTCTGTGTCTATCTCTCTGCAAGTCTGTGTCTCTGTGTGAGTGTGCCTCACCTTCTTCCCCATGCTTCTCTCTATCTGTCTGTGTGTCTCTCTGTATCTCTATATGTGTCTCTCTCTGTGTCTCTCTGTATCTCTGTGTCTATCTCTCTGTGTGCCTCACCTTCCCCATACTTCTCGCTGTCTCTGTGTGTGTCTGTGTGTCTCTCTCTCTGTGTCTCTGTGCCTCACCTTCTTCCCCATGCTGCTGCTGTAGCCGCTGCTGCTGTTGTAGCTGTAGTTGTAGCTGCTGCTGTAGCCGCTGCTACTGTAGTTGTAGCCGCTGTAGTTGTAGCCGCTGCTACTGTAGCTGTAGCCGCTGTAGTTGTAGCCGCTGTAGTTGTAGCTGCTGTTGTAGCTGTAGCTGCTGCTGCTTCTCGTCGTCTCCTCTACGTTCCCACGTGCGTGGCGAGGCCCCAGGAGCCACTTCCGGTTCCTCGCAGGGCGGAGTTCCGCCGCGCACCAACAAAAACCGACGAACAACAAAAAGAGGTTCCGGGAAGATTTTGTTCCCCCCCCGCCGCCTTCAACCTCTCGGGCTCCCCCTCGTGGTGGCCGAGGGGGGTTTGAGGAGGCGCGATGGGGGGCCAGGGGGAGGTGTGGGGGGGGGCTCGATGTAGCTGCACGATGCTGAGACGACTCCGACGACGCCACCGACGACTTGAGTGGGAAATCAGCAGCAGCAGGAGCGTGTTCCAGCCCTTGCCACCCGCTCACAGACACCGAACGCCCCAGGGAATGGATGATGGATTCATATACTCTTTGGTTTTTTTGGCAAAGTCACGAAGATAAAAAAAATAAATACATTTAATTTCATCATGGAACCTCCTTTGCCAGTACCAAAATATACTAATAGGGTTTTTTCCCCCTTTTTTCTGGCAACAAAACTGACACCTTTTGCATTTGACTGCAAGTATTGTGGTTAATGTTTTGTTGCCAGAAAAAAGGGGAAAAAACCCTATTAGTAGATTTAATTTCGTTTTTTCATTTATTTTATTACAATTTTTGCCGGCGTGACTTTACCGAAAAAAACCAAAGAGTATGAATCCTTGCAGTCACGAAAGCTTCAAATCTAGAATTGATGGATTATTGGTTTTTATGTATTCGACACAGGAGGGACTTGGGCTGTATTGAGAATCGGCATCTTCATGTCGACTGCAGCAGCAGCAGCAGCAATCCGAAGAGCTATGAAGCGCTTTTCATTTTCACGGATGTCCAGTATGGGCACGTGGTCAGCGAGTTACAGCAGCAGCAGACAACAACAACAATAATAACAATGAGTACAAAATAAAGAAAAGGGACCGCCCATAAATGACGTCACGCGATTTTTGACAATTTTTGACCCCCCCCCCCTCGTCACAAAGTAAGACCCCCTTCAAATATGACGTCACAAAGCTCTGCCCCCCCCCCCACCCCCCAAAACCAAATTTCCATTTTAAAAATAAAACACGCTTCAAATCGCTTTAAACTATTGTCATTGTAGTGCGTATTTAATGTGGCGCTGCACTCTGATGTTGTAGGAGTGTTGTTATAACAATTAGTGTTATCACAATTCTATATTAATATTCTTGGTTCTTTCGGTAAAGTCACGTAGAAGGGAAGTAATAAAATAATAAATATAAAACAATACAATTCTCACGACGTTTAGATTGCAACACAAGCAATAATAATAAGATGATCATCATCAAATGATTGTGTTGCAATCAAAACGTCGTGAGAATTGTTTTATTTTTATTATTTTATTATTTTCCTTCTACGTGACTTTACCGAAAGAACCAAGAATATGAATCCCTGCAGTCACGAAAGCTTTAAATCTAAATTCTATATTTATTTAAAGTTGCGAATTTTGATGTGACGTCACATTTCTCACCCCCCCCCCCCCCCCCCCCATCGTCACAAATGTCTGAGCCCCCCCCCCCCCCAGATACGTGACGTCATTTATGGACGGCCCCCTACCTGTCACCCCTTATCAGTGCCCTACCTGGCAACCCCTTATGGATCTCTGTGGGTCTCTCCGAGTCCCTTCTGCTATGAAGAAGTAACTGGGGCAATGCATTTTCAAATATAAATTGAAAACTCACGCTTTCTGTTAAGTTTGCTGTCCTTCCCACGCACCGCCAATTAGTACGGTGCGAAAGAAGTTCAACAAACATGGGTGACATGGCTCGCAGAAGCAATGTTTATGAATGTAACCTTTGACCCGTGGCAGCTTTGACATTCGCCAGCTGCTGGAGGCTTTTCTCCCCGTGGACCCGCTCCGTCTCCGCTCGCTGTTTATTGCTAAACTTTGCCGTCCATCCGTGTGCTGTCATTCTGTGTTGCGTGTATGAGCAGCAGGAGTGCTGAGTTCAGGAGTTGGGTGTCAATGTCGAGGTCTGGCTGCTGGTCACGAGAGGGTTTCACGGAAGAGTTTGTCTCCTTTCTGCTCTTTCTTCCCCGTTATATATTAAAAAAACATCTAGAAAATATTTTTTTCTTTTCTTGGTTCTTTCGGTAAAGTCACGTAGAAGGGAAGTAATAAAATAATAAAAATAAAACATAATAAAATTATTCTCACGACGTTTCGGCCACAACGCAAGTAGCCGTCCTCAGGTGAGAACCAGGTCTGTCGGGGAGACAGCGTCTGACGCTGTCGAAACGTCGTGAAAATTTTTTTATTATGTTTTATTTTTATTATTTTATTACTTCCCTTCTACGTGACTTTACCGAAAGAACCAAGAAGATGAATCCCTGAAGTCACGAAAGCTTTAAATCGTATTTTTTATTGTAAAAGAGTAATACCGTATAGCTCTTTTGCTGAAGCGACCTGGCGATCACAAATGATAGGTCTACAAAGTGGCTGATCGTCGTGAAAATTTATAGCAGCAAAATAATCGAAATAATCTCCATGCATGTTTATAAATGTGGAGGGGGAAAAAACGGAGGACCCGGAGAAAAATCCACGTAACCACTGGTTCGATCCAGACCCTGCCTGTTGAATATTTGGAGTTTGCGTCTCTCTCTCTCTCCGTGTCATGTGGATTTTTCTCCGGGTCCTCTGGTAATCCCCTCCACATTAAGAATCAACATCACGTGTTTACAGTATTTGGCTGCTGCTGTCATTTTTTTTTTTTTTACAAATAACCCACTTCGCTTCTGAAGAGCTATGCCGTATAACTCAGTGAGCCTTACCTGGTAAAATAAAAAGTTTAGTTTCGAAGCTTAATGTGGATATTGTCTCTGCATTAAACAAGTTATACCCTTCTTGCCTCCACAGCCATAATTGGGAAAAGATAATGGACGTATCCATCAATGGCCCTTTGGCTTTTTCGCTGAGGCCAAACCTAACTGTTGCATCAAGGGCCACTTGCCGAAATCTAAGCTATATATTTGTATTTGAAGGCCAGTGTCTTTCATGAACGTGATGTAATTCTGCACCACTGCCAACACAGTGTGACCAAATACTGTCATGTATGACGCAGTGTGACCAATCCATATCATGCACACGTGTTAATTCAGCGATTGGTATATCTGCAATGCTCAAAAGGCTGTTAAAAAAAACCACTGAATTGGATGTGGGTGGACCATTGACCAGTTGAATCTCTCAAGGAATGTTCCTTTATTTCCAGTTGTTTTTGCATAAAGACCTGCCGAGCCGTGAAGACCCTGCCACCCAACACACGAAGCGCGTGTAAGCTCCCCCCCCCACGTGTTTACATAAGGAGTTCGTCACAGAATGCCAGCATTGTAGCTCACAACGAGTGAAATATGCTTACGTCTTAAAAGCCTTGCAAACACAGGTAATGTACGACTGTTTATACACATGCATCTCTCATTACAAATTCACGTCATCTGTGAAATGCACGCTGCGTAGTCAAAAACTTTAACAAGCAAAAAACATTAAAACGGCACAATCATTTATTATAGCCTTAGTTCCCTATTTTTATTTATTAAATATTTCATCACTTGACCCTGTTTCCAGTGGTTGACTACATCTGAATTAAGGGCACTATCTGGAACTTGTTGACCCGGACAAATCATTACGATTCTTTAAAAAAAAAAACACTTCAGTAATCAATCCTGAACTTTAGCAATAAATATTGTTGTACCAAGAGCAAAGTTAGTGAGAATGGTGCATGAATATGTCTGTTTCCAGGATCATTTCAGTCGGCAGTGGCATCAGCACAATGTGAAAGAGTGATCTCAAGAGCGGTGAATCCACACACCCGTGTGTGTTGCCCTCAGGCCATACGCATCACTTCATCTGCTAGACAAGATTTCTCCAGATGGTAGTGCAAAAAGAGTGTAATTTTGTGTATCACCACGTAAAATGATTGCTAAGTACAAAAGCGTTGAAAATACCTAAAATGCTAATGTGAGGTGAGATTTTGTACAAAACGGACATTTAATGCTCACATAAAAATGTAACTAAAATATACTAGTTACACGACGACTCATTACTAACATCTTCCTTCAACAAAAAATCATTTCTTTTTCCTTTTTGACGGTGCGTGACTTCCAGTCGCAGTTACATCTGAAAAAAGGGAGAAAAACAAGCATTTGTTACAGCTCAGACACATGGAAGGCTGCTCACATGATCATCAACATCACCACTAAAACGTGATGTAAAAACGGTGTAACAGAATGATACAGTAATTTTGCTGTGACGGTGCCACCTGAAGACGGAAGCTTGTGTTGCCTCCGAAACGTCGTGATTTAATATATTTTTAATTAATTTTTTTACCTACGTGACTTTACCGAAAAAACCAAAGAGTATGGACCCTTGCAGTCACGAAAACTTCTAATCTAGAATAGAAGACTCCAAGACGCTTAATCGCCACTACAAGCACACAGGTCTACACGCTGCAACAGGACACGGGTAATAAACCTGGATTCATCTTTAATGTCTGTATATATTATCGTGCACCTTTTATAAATCAATAATGTCGAGGGCAGAGCACGGTTGGCGACGTATGGTGGGAAAAAAGTTCTCTATACATTTAGCAAAATCAACACTATTAAAAAGTGCAATCGATGAGAGTTAATCAATTTGTTGAATTGAGCAAGGTTAGTGATTGAGTAGGTGAGCGAGTTGGGTTGGTTGGGGTGTGTATGTCTATTATTATGACCTGGAGTGTGACGTTTGAAGTGCGGATGAGACAAAACTGCCTGTCTGGTACTATGAGATCTCTTCTACCAGTGGCAAAATATAGTAGTAGGTTTTTACCCTTTTAAACTGGTACAAAACTGACACCTTTATTCAGGACAGTGCATATTATTATCATTATCAGAGTTGCTTCTTTTTGTTTGCTTTTTTGACTACTTGTGTTGTGGTTATTGCAAACATAATGCCTTGAATAGAGGTGTCAGTTTTGTACCAGTTTAAAAGGGTAAAAACCTACTACTACTGCCTGTCTGGTAGACCAAGTCCTCAATACGAGTGGAGGAATCAA